AGAAGACCAAATAGAAATATTGTAATCAGAAAATTGTATCGATAAAAACTGCTTTCAGTTTTCACATTCTACAAATCCTGTAACTATGACTTCGTTTGGGACGGCTTTCTTCTTGCTTTTTAAAACAGTTTTTAGTATAAAAGTTTCTTAAATTTATAATTTTTATACTAGAAAGCCGTTTTAAAAAAGCAGTACGAAAGTTGTCCCAAATGAAGCCTATAATTGATAAATAGAGTAAAAGTAAATGTAAATTGAAGTACTATTTTAAACAGAAAAAAGAAATAAAACGGTTGGCAAAGATTTGGACTGCATAGTTTTGAGCATATTCAAAAAAAATTTCATAGTATTAGCAGTTGCAGTACTTTTGCATTTCGGTGTAACTTCTATGTCCACTAGCTGATTAGGCACTTTAGTAAATATTACACTGAATGGAATGCGACCAGTTGATCGATTGGGCATAGTATTGAAAGCAAATTCAGCCTGACGTAGTAATTCTTCTCACTGTTTAGGATGTTCCTGCACCAAACAACGAAGCATGATGTCCAAAGTTCGATTTACTTCAATTTGGTTATCTCTTTGGGGGTGGCATATCGAACTAAGTTTAATAGCAGTTTTAAGTCTTTTCAACAATTCTCTTAAAAAATGACTGACGAATTTAACGTCACGGTTGGAAGTAATACTATGAGGTAGCCCATGTAAACGAACAATTTATTCAAAAAATGAATGAGATGTATGTAAAACATCAAAGGTTTTCTTGCATGGAATGAAATGAGCAATTTTTGAAAACATATCAACTACAGTCATTATTGAATCAACGACTCACTTGATTCTTGGCAAACCCAAAGCGAAATCAATGCTAAGGTTCTCCCAAATTGAATCAGGGATGGATAGTGGCATGTAGAGGCCGTTATTTTGAGTATTGCCCTTATAGGTTTGACAAACAGAACATCGTTCAATAAATAGGTGAACATCCCTACGCATATGAGGCCAATAAAAGCGATATTGTAGTTGGGTTAAAGACTTATCTCTACCTACATGAGCGACTAAACCGTCACAATGCACCTCTTTGATTAGTTGTTGTCTCTTAGAAGATTGAGGAATGCAAAGAGAGTTACCTTTAAATAAAAAGCCATGACAAATAGTGTAATCAGCGGTTGGAGACCCAACGGAACAGAGAGCCCACAATTCAGCAAAATATGTATCATCTGAGTACAAATTCTGCATTTCCTATAAGATAGTAAGTAATTTTTGTAACTGTATAAGCAGGGTAACTCGGCGACTTAAAGCATCAGCTACGTGATTCAATATTCTGGCTTTATGTTTGACTACGAAGCTGAAGTTTTGCAAGAAGACAATCCATCGGGCGTGCATTCGATTAATATGTTTTTTTATTATTAAGGTACTACAAAGCTTGGTTGTCACTACAAAGCACAAAATCCTGTTAAAGTAAGTAATGATCCCATTGCTTCAATGCTCGAACGACTGCACACAATTCTTGTACATATGCTGACCATTTTTGTCGAGGGCCACTTAGTTTTTCATTGAAATTTTGAACTAGTTGTTCTCCTTGTGATAATACGACACTAATGCCTGTGGATGAAGTATCAGTATCAACCTGAAAGGGCTTATCAAAATCTGGCAAAGCTAGTACCGAAGCAGTGCTTAGAGTTGATTTGATTATATCAAACTATAATGTTTATTGATAGACCAACTAAACATCTTCGATTTTAAGCAGACAGTAATAGAGCCATGATAACACTAAATCTTCTAATGAATCATCTATAGAAATTGGCCAACCCATGGAAGCTTCTAGCATCAAAAATAGATCTCAGTGTAGGCCATTCTTGAATGGCTGAATTTTTGCGATGATCCATACTAATACCGTTGGGAGATATGAAAAAACCCAATAAATATATAGTGTTGGTAACGAAATCACATTTAGACAAATTTAAGTACAACTGATGGACTTGCAAGTTTTCTAAAATATGTTTCAGGTGTTGAACGTGAATCTCAAAAGAAGGGCTAAATATGAGTATATCATCAAAAACGCCAATACATAAATTTGTCCCTAAATAATTTTAGCACTTCATTCATTAGCCTCATAAATGTCGAGGGAGCATTACAGAGCTCAAAGGGCATTACCTTCCATTCATATATACCTTCCGGGACTTGAAAGTTGTCTTCCACTCATCTCCAAGTCTTATTCGTATTGATAATAGACGCTTCTCAAATCTAACTTTGAAAACATTATAGATCCCGCAAACCGGTCTAATAAATCTGAGATGCGAGGTATGGGGAAACGATATTTGATAGTAATTTTATTGATAACCAAGTTGTCTATACACACACGCCATTGCACGTCCTTTTTTGGGACTATTAGAGCGGGTACAGTGCTGAGATTGGGCTTAAACATTTGTTTTCTTAGCAAGTCTTCAATAATTTCTTGAAGAATGTCATGTTCTTTTTTGCTCATGCGATGGTGAGGTTGGTTAGGTAGCACTGGTCCCGGAATTAGCTCAATGTTGTGTTATATGTTACGCAGAGGAGGCAGTTGGGATGATAAATCAGGGGGGAAACATCAGAGAATTCAATTAATAGTTGTTGTACTTATGTAGGAATTATATGAAAACCTGAAGTCTTGTGATTATCAGTAGCTACCAAGGAGAAAACTAGAATTGCAATTCATACTACACTATACAAAAGACCGGCTAGAGACTATGTAAGCAGCGTTATTTTTGTTCCCAACCTGAGAAATTTGCTCTGACTTTTGGGGAAGCAATCGCAATTGATGCCCTTTCCAAGCAAATGAATACTGATTGGACATGCAATCGTGAATGGCACTAGTATTGAATTTCCATGGATTGCCCAAAATGATGTAGCACAAGTCCATATCTAACACATCACAACTAACCTCACATACATAATGCTTCCCAATTGAAAATGTGAAACAACACATATTTGAAACTGTAATTTCGGTGCCTTTCTTTATCCAACTGATCTTGTACTGATAGGGATTTTTTGTCTTTTTGATTAGGATATAACATTTTCAATGCAACCACTATTAATGACTATGTCGCAAACCTTGCCCTTGATAGTACAACGAGTTCTGAACAAATCATTTCATTGTGAAGGAAGGGTTTGACGAGGAGCAATAAGTATCTTTTCAAGAATGCAAACAAGTGATTTTCCCTCATCACCATGTAAGTTCTCTCCTTCAGGATCAACTTCTTTGTTCAGCCACCGCTTGTTCTTCTTCTAACATGTGTATCTGAGGCCTATTGGGAAATTTATTGAACTTATGTTCGGGCTGTAGGCATCGAAATCATTTCAATGGAATGGGCTTGGTATAAGGGTTTTCTTTAGTATTGGTCCTGAATTTTCCTTGAAGCTTATTATTCACTGAAGCAACTTGTGGTGAAGGATTTGAAATAGATTGAAGTTTTGGAGGGTTGGCAGTAGAATGATTGCTAACTTGGCGACGATTTTGGTATCTACAGGAATGACACTGCAACTAATTTTCAGCTTTCAAAGCGAAATTGACTGCTTTGGAGAGAGAGTCCACACTGAATTGAGCTCCAATTTATCTTGTATCCCCTCCTTTAACCCTCCAATGTATTGAGCAACCAGCTGATTCCAGATTTGTTGAGATTGTTTCGAACACTCAAACGATAGAACTCTTCAGTATAATCTCCAAAAGTTTGAGATCCTTAGGAGCAATGATGCTATTGGAGATACAACATATGTTCGTAATCTGTTGGCAAGAAATGTCCTCGTAGAAGTTGTTTCATCTGGAACCAACTATGAACCTGCCCCTTATATTATCGTCATTTGTCTGTAACAATTGTAACCACCAAGCACCCGCACCACCTTTTAATCAGCATGCCATATATTTAAATTGCTTCTCAGGATCTATCGCCATATATTAAAAAAAGGTTTCAACAGTTTTCTCCCAAACCAAATAATCCTCAACGTGTTATCGGCCTTCGAAGAAGGGAATGTCTAATTTTACATGAAACTTTGCCTATTATCGAGGTTGTCACCCTTGTTTCCTTGGCACATCATCATAAGGAATGGGAACATCTACAAAATATGGATCATCTAGGCGGGGACGAACAACAAATTCTTCCTCATAATCAGTAAGTTCCAGAAATATCATCGGAGGTCGTCTCTGGTTCCGATTTATTGCTGCTGGAGGTCGCGCCATTGGCGCGGCTGCAGGTGGCGGAGGGCGAACATCTAGGTGAAAGTCCATTGTAGCTTTGAGAGTTGCCATGTCATTCCTCAACTCTACCGAGAGTCGAATATACTCTATGGTTAGATCATCAAGCCGCCAAGTAAAATTACTCTGAACTGCCCACAAGGCCCGCAAGCTCCAATCATCGTCAGGGCTCCCTACGCAAAATTCCTTCTGCTATTTCGAGGCTAGCTAGCTCTGATACCAAAATGTTGCAACAGCTTCATCCGAACCTGGAAAGGGATCGAATAGGAAGAAGAACAAATAGAAATATTGTAACCAGGAAACTATACTGATAAAAAATGCTTTCAGTTTTCTCATTCTCATATAAATGTATGCGATGAGTAAAAACCTTGTAACTATAATTAGTAAATAGAGTAAAACAGTTAGCAAAGATGGTGGGGATTAGCTCAATGATAACTTGTACCTCAGCTGGAACTTAGTTGTTATAGTCCACATCCTTTTCGCTCATATTCCATAATCTTCTAGAAACAACCAAAATCAAAGTTTTTTTAACAAAAATTTAATTTAGGATATAAGATATTTAAACTTTATTTCAGAGAGTTTTTTTTAATTATTTTTAAATACTATACTAAAAATTATTTTATAAAACAATAAAAAAACTGTCATACTGTAAATTTAGATTTTTTTTGTCAAGGACCCCAAATAAGATACTGCAGTAACTGTTGATAGATTCATAAACCACGTCGGAATAAAGTTTCTCTGTTCACCACCCCCGAGACAAAGGAACCCCATGAAATAAAGACAGATCTCAGAACAAACAAGAAAGAGAGAGAGAGAGCGTCGACTTCTGTTAACTGAGAGCCACTCCATTGCCTCCCTGTTCTACACCGGGCCAATGGGCTCAACCTCATCGCCTTCCTCGCCATGATTGATTCCTTCCACCTCCTTCTCACATCACAGACCGATTGACGTTTCATGGATGACTCATTTCTCAATCCTGATGTCATTCTACCGAAGCTCTACTCTGTCATTTTTGCGTGCAGAACAGAGCATGCGATTCCATCGCTCAAAAATCCAATCTTTTCTGTCCTTCTCTCTCAAAAGCTGGAAATTAGTCTCAATTTTCCATATTTATGTCAAGTTTCTCTCTTCGGCCTTAGGTTACAAAGCAGCAGCTTAGATAAAAGCCCTGGTTTTGGCTTGTGCTGCAACTCTCTGTTCTCGCTCTGCGTTTTTGGTGATGATGGGGAGAGGAAGGTTAGAGATAAAGAGGATAGAGAACCCAACGCAGAGGCAATCCACCTTCTATAAAAGAAGGGATGGCCTCTTCAAGAAAGCTAGAGAGCTCGCTGTACTCTGTGATGCCGATCTCCTTCTCCTTCTCTTCTCTTCTTCTGGCAAGCTGTACCATTACCACTCGCCCTCAGTTTCTAAGTAAGGATTGCTCTTCCATGAACTAATTCTTGGATTTTTTTTTTTTCTGATCATGAACGGGTGCAGTGTGCAGGAACTGTTAAGGAGGTATGAGGTGGCTAGTCAGACAAGGATTTTGAAGGATCAGGTAGAGTACAGACTCTGTTATTTTAAAAAAACAGAACACTTTGGTTGAACTGTGTTTTTTGTGTGGCAGAATGGAGGGGAGAACGTTGAGGAGGTTGAGAGGATGTGCGAGATTTTGGAGAGGGAGATAAGGTTTATGAGGATTGATGAAGGAGAAGAGTATACTTTGCCTGTTCTTCAGGTGATCGAGCAGAACCTAGAGGTAGCCATGAAGAAGGTGAGAGAGGAAAAAGATAGAAAGATTCAAGCTGAAATGGAAACTCTCCACAGGATGGTTTGTTTTGTTCTAATTCTCTTCTTGTTTTCTTAATTTTCTTTGTTTGAGAGCTTTGGTATTGAAGTGTTTTTATCTCTGTAATTAAATCTGAAGGTGAAGGATCGACAGCTTGATGGGTGTGGACTGTGCGAAAAGGTAACTAAGCTACATTGCCTACTTCTTAGTCAACTACATTGCCAATACCACTTCATGCAACTTCATTGCCTTCTTAATTGTTTGTATCACTTCAGGACTGTTTGGTATCACTAAGCATTTGATGTAAGTAGGATTTTGTAAACCCGCGCTAAATTCAGATTTCGGAAATCCTGAGGGTCCTAAATCCTGAAAACTGTTTGGTAACATTCATGATAAATTCTATTAAATCCCGTGTGACTGTTTGGCTATAAAACGGATTTAATGAGCGGACTCTTCCTCTCCGGCCACAAAAAACAGGATTTCAGAAATCTAGGATTTAGCACGAAAAGGCGGAATTTTCCATCTACGGCGGCTTTCATTTTCCATGAGATTTGGTTTTGCATTTTAAGTCGTTTGGCTGAATTTTGCTCAAATCCGCCTCAAATCCAGCCTAAATCGTGCTACCAAACAGCCCCTTCATGTTGCTTAGAGTTTATTTGGGGCAATTCTTTTTCTTTTTTTTTTTTGTTGTTTTGCTTTTGCGATGACAATCATATTTCTATTTGATTATCATGTTCACATCAAAAGAGCACTCACTCGTCTTCCATTTTTGCAAAACTGGTCATCCTGAGAGGTTTGGAGTTTATAAAGGTCCAAAAAATTCTGCTCCTTATCGCTCAAGTTGTTAGAGAGAAGAGAGAATTCATGAGAGTAGCACACATATCTCATTATCAACATTTCTATATGCTGTTTCCTCATTCATTTCTTTAGTGGCCTTTATGACCGACATCGCTTTATGTAGCTTTCTCTCTTGCATATCAAAGTGTAGCTTCATTGCCTGCCTCTTGCACCACTTCATGTAACATTTGGCCTACTCATAGGATTCATTTGAGACAACTTTCTTATTTCTTTATAAAACTGTTGTAGAGAAGCAACATTTTAAAGTTGTGGTAGAAAGTAGCTTTCTAATACAAAATTATTTTGAAAATAGCAAAAACTCTGACCAAATAAAAAATTGGGTTGCGATTTGAAAATTAAAACAATAAAAAAAATATCTCAAACGAAACCTTAGTTAGCATCGTTGCTTTCATCACTTCATTCAGCTTTGTTGCTCCCTCACTTGACATCATGACATGCTCTATTTCATACAACTTCATCACCCAGTTCTCAGTCAACCACCCTAGCAGCAACACTTTATACAATTTCAATGCATGCTTAATCACTGGTATCACTAATGTTTAGTTTGTGATAATTTTCTTAATGCTTCTTAAAATAACTTTCTAGTATAATTTTTTTCATTTTTATATTAAAAAGCTATTTTAAGAAACAGTAACAAAATCATTCCAAACAAATTCTTAGTGTAGCTTTGTTTGTCTACTCTTTAGCAAGCATCATCTCTTCCATGTTTCTTAATTATACATGTTACTTACACCCCTTCACTGATTTTGTTGCCCACCTCTCATATTGCATCAATGTATGCTAACTTCACAATAAGCCTAGCAAGTCAATAATGAATTAGACATCCCATCTAGGGGTATGGCTTACAAACATTTGATGGTCATGAAGACCTTAAAGGTTTTCAAGTTTCTTAGAGAGGAGAAAGTATTAGATGAAGTGCTTTGGCACACCAAGGAGAAAATCTTACTAAATTAATTTGTTTTCTTATCGAGTTTGAGTGAGTCAAGCTCAAGTCTCATATTTTTCACTCAAGTCGAGCTCAAGCTCAGCAAATGACCGAGTAGAGCTTGAGCTTGAATTTGAAGCTTGGCTCAATTAAATAAGAACTTGACTTGTTTACACCTATAGAACTAACAACAACATTACCAAGCCTTTCTCCCACTATGTGGGGTCGGCTACATGCACCCTTTTTCTCCATTATGCCATATTTAAAGTTAAATTCTCATTTAAATCTAATAAATAAATGACATTTCTAATATTTTCTAACCAAGTACTTTTAGGTCTACCTCTACCCTTCTTAACATAAGTCAAATCTAATACATCTACTTTTCTAACCATGTCATCAGAAGGCCATCATTTTATGTGATCAAACCCTCTAAGGAGACTCTATATATAATCTTATATTCTACTGGAGTTACTCCAACCTTTTCACGTATATGCTCATTTTGTATGCTATCTTTAAGAGTAAAGCCACTCATCCACCTGAGCATCCTCATCTCTACAACACTTAACTTAATATTATGCTTCTCTTTTAATGGCCAACATTCTACACCATAAAACATTGCAGGTCTAACCAACATCTTATAAAACTTTCCCTTAAGTTTAAAGGGGACTTTTCTATCACACAACAAGCCTTATGCATTCCTCCACTTAAAACATCCAACTTGAATTCTACTAATAATATCCCTATGTATTTCACCATTAGTCTGAATAATAGACCCAAGATATCTAAAACATGTATTTTTATTAACGACTTGATCACCCAGAGTCACAATCCCTCCACTAGAACTATTGTTACTAAAATTACCATCGATATATTCAATTTTAAATCTAATTAAACGAAAGCCTTTAGACTCTAAGGGTGACCTTCATAATTCAAGTTTACCTTCAACTTTCTCTCTCTCTAGTCTTATCAACAAGAAGAATATCATCAGCAAAAAACATACACAGGCAACAACCTCTTGCAAATGTCTTGTGAGAACATTCATGACTAAAACAAAAAGATATGGGCTTAAGGCTAATCCTTTATGTAATCTAACTAAAATAGAAAAATACTTAGTCAAACCACCTAGCTTGTGTCTGGACACAAGTAATAACTCATGCGTACATATCCTTAATGACTTGAATATAAGCATTTTTAACTCCTTTCTTTTCTAGAACTCTCCATATCACTTCTCTTGGAACTTTATCATATGTTTTCTCTAAATCAATAAATATCATATATATAGATCCTCCTTATTCTCTTTATACTTCTGCATCAAACCTCTCAATAAATGTATAACTTCCATAGTAGACATACCCGACACGGATCCAAATTGATTCTGAGAGATGTTAGTATCACGCTGCAACCTATGCTCCATAACTCTCTTCCATAGTTTTAAAGTATGACACATTAACTTAATTCCTCTATAATTCGCTCAATCGTGTGCATCACCTTTATTCTTAAAAATATGAATCAACACACTCATTCTCCATTCATGTGGCATCTTTTTAGTCTTCAAAATATTATTAAAAAGTTTAATAAGACAAGAAATTTCTTCTTCTCCTAATCATTTCCACACCTCTTTTTTAAAGCCTCTCTAATTTGGATTTTACTAATACGCTGATAAAAATAAAATTTTTTATTTTCATTTAGGATGCTAAGGTCACTAAAGGCAATCGCATTCTCATAATCTTCATTGAAGGGTTATAAAAATATCTCACCCACTTTTGTTGAATATCTTCTTCTTATAAAAGTATTTTTTTATCTTCATCTTTAATACACTTCACTTGAACTAAATCCTTAAATCAAATAAAATCTACAACAGCATTACATTACATAAGATAATGCAAAATATATAGTAAAATGATGATAGAGAGAGATCACTAAATGAAACAGCATAAGAAGCCTTTCTTTCTATAGAAACATAAATTTCTTCAATAAATCCCTCAAAAGTAATTTTATAATGGAAGTTTTTTTTTTTTTTTATATATAAACAACTCAAAAAAGTATAATAAAATATAAATTAAGCTTAAATTCATTAATTATAATATAGTTATTTCATTATCTCTAATTAATACATAATTATCTTGAATTTCAAAATATATTAAGCTAGCTCTAAAAATTCTAAAGATTTTTGTGTTGAAAGACTCTAAACTTAGATATTTAAATAAAATACCACAAAATTTTGGAGCAAAAAAATGACATAAAATAATTCATTATGTATAGACTAATTATTTTAATTAGCATATTTAAGTAAAATTTACTATGATTGATTAGACATAAAATAATTCATTAGACATAAATTTTCTGAAAAATAATAATTATTTATAAAATAAAATTATCCCTAATAATGTTATAAACCTTCTTAACTATGATTGATCTAATGATATTTTGACTAATCTTAATTGCAGCAATCCCCTACACCATTATTGCTTGGAGAACAACCTTTGTTCGGCTATGAATTAGATCTGAAATTAGGTATTTTTCTGCTAATTAAACTAACTTTTCAACCATTAAACTTATTCTTTAATTATATTACAAATTATTCTCAATTCTTTATATCTTTCCAGGTTTTGATTAATCAAAGAAGGTTCAGATTACTTATAATTAGGCTGAGTTGGAGAACTATTTGGTTATCATTTTCCAGCCTTATAACTCTTGCTTCTGTTACAGTTTGTTCTTTTTTGAAGCCTATGTGTAAGGATATGTAATATGTTGATGGTTTATTGTATAACTATTGTTGTTATCCAGTTTAAGTTTTCTTGCTAATTTGTTCTTTGTTGTAGGTTGAGATTGATGAATTTGTCTCCTTCAAATTTTATTTTTCAGTTGTAATTATCAATCATAACATTGTCGTTGCCAGGTCCCAAGCCCTGGATAAAAAAAATGAAGGGTTGCGTTAGGTACTCGACTGCCAACGTAAAAATTGTCAAATAATCATGACATGAATCTTTTAAAAAATTAGGTTAACTAAGTTAAGTGTTGCAGAGATGAGGATGCTCAAGTGGATGAGTGGCTTTACCCTTAGAGATAGGATACGAAATGAGCATATACGTGAAAAGGTTGGAGTAGCTCCAGTGGAAGATAAGATTAAATTAAAGAAAGGCGTCTTAGATGATTAGAGGTATTAGATTTGACTTATGTTAAGAAAGGTAAAGGTAGACCTAAAAAGAATTGATTATAACATATTAGAAATGATATTTCTTTATTAGATTTAAATGAGAATTTGATTTTTAACCAGACACAATGGAAAAAAAGCATTCATGTAGCCGACCTCACCTAGTGGGACAAAGGCTTGATGTCGTTGTTATTGTAGCAGTAGTTGTAATTATCAATCATAATTATAAAATGTTTTGATTGATGGCAACATAAAACAAATCGCCTCTACAGAAGATTATGCCATCCACTAGACCTGGCAACAACAGCACTAATAATCCTTTTGTTTACTCTTCATCATAATAGAATGATCACTCTACTTGATATCTCCATTATGTTCCTCCCCAACATCCTCACTTAATGTCTATATGGCACATCCACAAGGCTTTGTGTTGCCTCAACAAATTCATTTATGAACTATAACTGAATCCAAGACAATGGTTCTCTTTACATTCTCAGACCCTCTTGAGCAAGAGGGTTTTCCTTACAAGTAACAACACATTTTCCATTGTTCCTACAAAGACTTCAACATCAACTTTTAAATGAAAAACTATTAGGAGATTATGAATCAAATACAAAGAGAAATATAAATCATGATTTGTAAAACACAAATGAACACAAAGGATTTATATGAAAATCTGTTGAGAAATTGGGAGGAGTTCTTGAGAGCTTCTTGAGCCTTCTTTCAAGATAGATAGAGGGAGTAAAAAGGAGACAGATTTTAGAGGAGGAAAACTAACTAAAGTTGTATTCAAATTTCTCAAAACTTTACATCAACATATACCTCATATTTATAGGAATTTACAGGTGTGATAACATGAAGATCAACATAATCTAAAATTGGAGAAACACCTCATAATCTCGACCTTGCACCAGGTTTTATAATCAAACTACTTGTGCTTCTACTGCGATCTAACTGGCTTCCTATGTTAACTCCACGAGCAATCCTGCCAAACAGAGCCCAATCCCACTTGCGAAGAGCCTCCACTATGTATTCCGATCCACGGCTCTCACAACTACTTCAATTAGCATCATATGGCTATGACAACTGCTCTAAGATTTTATATTTCAATCAACTCTCTCTCTCTCTCCTCTCTTTTGTGTGAATTTATTAGCTCTTCACTCTCCTATATATATGAGTATTATAGCAATCCGAGTGAATTAATAAAAACTATCTTAGTTTTTTTCATCTTCTTCTTCCTCCCTTCTTCCTCTTCTCCTACTCCTTAGCTACAAATTTTCATTAATATCATCAATAACCCATATTTAATTTGAAATAATCTTAATATCCTTGCAATTTAAAATCATTTATTAACTTAGCATATAATCAAAATCATCTAATAAAAAATATTTAATGTCACATAATGATAATCAAAAGTCATAAGTTGAACAACTAGAACTAGCTACGTATCTTTTTGCATGGTATTGATGCTCGGTACCACTCGGTATTGGGTGATGTGACGTCTTATGATTTACCTCCGCACTGTTCGATGTCCGCACAGAATAATTTCTCTTCAAAGGAAGACTTAAAATTTGGAGAATATCATTCTCATTTTAAGGATTTTGTTTATGCCAAACTATATAGCGTACAATTTATCAACTTTTTATTATTATTATTTTAGAAATAACAGTGTGGGTAGTTAAAAAAAAAAAGGCAGTGTGGGTAGTTGTTGCATTAATTAAACAAAGGGTATTTGGGTAAATGTGGAGGTTGAGGACCTGAGGTTGACACGTGGCGGTCATTATCGGGTTGAATCGGGTCAAACATAATTAAGTATTCTTGATAATTGAGCTGAGATTTCATCTCAAACCCCTGGTTTTATTCGGGTCAGGCCAACCTGTCAAAAACCTTAGTTAATTATTTCCATTTTAGTCAAGAACAAGTCAATTTTTTGTATTAAATTCTCACAGTACTCCCCACCCTTTAAATTAATTTTCAAATTTTTAATATTAAAATAAATAAACAAATATATTTTGTTAGTTTTAACTGATCCACAAAAATTAAAATAATAAAAGAGCGCCCACACACAATATATATACATGCTTTCTAAGGCAGCTTCAAAAAAGAACACTTAGGCTTCGTTTGGGATGGCTTTTTTTCTACTTTGCAAAGCAGCTTTTTAGTATAAAATGAAAAAATTTTGTTTATCGGGTTGAATCGGGTCAAACATAATTAAGGGTTCTTGATAATTGAGCTGAGATTTCATCTCAAACCCCTGGTTTTATTCGGGTCAGGCCAACCTGTCAAAAGCCTTAGTTAATTATTTCCATTTTAGTCAAGAACAAGTCAATTTTTTGTATTAAATTCTCACAGTACTCCCCACCCTTTAAATTAATTTTTAAATTTTAATATTAAAATAAATAAACAAATATATTTTGTTAGTTTTAACTGATCCACAAAAACTAAAAAATAAAAGAGCCCAACACACAATATAGATACATGCTTTCTATGAAATAGTTGGGTTTCGTTTGGGATGACTTTCTTGCTACTTCTTAAAGCAGCTTTTTAGTATATAGGTTTTAATTTTTGTACTAAAAAGCTGCTTCATGAAGCACTTGGAAAGCCGTCCCAAACGGTTTCTTAGACTTCGTTTGGTACAGCTTTCTTATTGTTTTCTAAACAAGCTTTCTAGTGCCAAACTTTCCTTTTCAAATTTTTTTTATAAAACAATGCAGAAGCTGTCCCAAATGAAGTCTTATGCTTTGTTTGGGACGGCTTTCTTATTACTTCTTAAAGCAGCTTTCTAGTACAAAAGTTTTAATTTTTATATTAAAAAAATGTTTTAGAAAGCAATAAGAAAACCGTCCCAAACGAAGTCTTAATCACATCTTGACATAAACTAAAAGGTGTGTTTGGGGTAGTTATAGTTTTTTTATCAAGGCTACATAGAAATTATTTTCTCTAAAATAATTCTTTTGAAAACTGTTATGACATTACAAATATCTTTTATTTAAAAAAAAAATCAGTCAATAGCTTTCTTACAGGGCAAATTATATTGTCCGGTGTCCGGATTCGTCCGGACACCAATCTGGTGTCGCCACACACCAAAATACATCGGGACCCAGTGTATTTGAGTGACGTGACGTCACCGAATTGGATGTCCGAACATCCGATGACCGGACACAATAATTCGCCTTCTTACAGCCACTGTTATTAGATCTGGTTATAAAAGATAAGCTTTCCACTGCAATTTTTTTTTAAATTGTAAGAAAATAGTTAAATACAATTATAATTAGGCCTAAAAATTAAAACAGTTGAAAAGCTGTTTCACACAAGCTCTACACCTTAGAATATTCTTATTAAAATTATTTATATAACATAATATTTTTTTTCCTTGCGAGAAAATTATAACTTTATTTTATCTCATTTAGGTATTTTTAGTATGAATTTTAAATATAAAACTAAAATCACTCATTTATTTACATAAATTAAACCAATTAAATAAAATAAGCTATGTTAATTTCCCTCGTGTATTATTTGGTCAGACCAAGCATACTTGCTCCAATGACAGTCACGTGACCCATTTAATTCAAAGTAAGAACAACTTTTTTTTTTTTTTTAGATAAATTCACGCTCGATTCGATTATAAGCTCGTCATGTTTGGAAACCGTTTGGTAACTCAAAATGTGGTACGAAGCTCCCAATGGCGCTTCGGGTCCTTGATTTGGACTCATTTGGCTCGGATTGAGCCGAATTTGGTGTCATTGGGTTTGTATTTCCGAGACACTCAGTTTGACTGTAAGTTTGCTGAAATTAGAGTTCATGTGATCCCATATTTAATTTTTGAAGTTTCTGGCTTGATTTTTGTTTTGAGATTTGTGCCCGATCAAGATAATTTTTTGATGATATATCAACTATGACTGTAACATTTTATAAAATTAATTGTTAAATTATTGTGGAGAAAAAAAATTTAACTTTTCTGATTGTACAAAATAGCATCCTATCATAAAAATTTCTAAAATTAAGTGAGAAAAAGTAAGATAGTAGTACCTAAAGGGACCATTTGATGCTATAACTTTTTATTTATAAAGGTGGTTATAAAATTACTATATATACATAGAAAGTGATCTTTTGAAAGTTGTTTCAGAAAGTAACTTCTTAGCATAATTTTTTATAAATAGTGAAAATCTGTGGCCAAATCTGAAAATAAAAAATAAACAAAGCCTAAAATAATGATAAAACTGTCTAAAAAACAGTAATTTGATATCATTATTTTTTTTGTTAGGGCACAGATTCAAAGCCTTGTATGATTATAAAAATCAGCTCCATATTCCCAAAAAATAATCTTAATAACTCCTTACTCAATCTCATAGCTTGTTGGTCCTTAGCGTTAGCACTTAGGTCTTTTAACTAAAGCTACAGTTCTTTAATACTGTGATGATACTAATGGCCTGATCAGAAGCTCAGCTCATGGGAAAGGTACAAGCCTGGAACTCCTTCACACCCACCGAATCCAAGAAAAATTTTAAATTTGTACAACCCATGCATATTTACTGATCTGAAACATCTAATAAAGTGACAGCTAGCTATTCCCTTCCATCAAAATTTGATTTTTTTTTTTCAGAAGAACTTTATACAGGGAAGAGTTATGACTAACATAAATGCTTCTGCAACACATCAACTAACCCCTCACTCTCCTCTTCTTCCAGTATTAATGAAACTGTACAGGCCATGTAATGGCTACAATCAAATCTTTGTTTCCTTCTCTGTATTTAAGAGCCAATGCTGTAATGGCGCCATTGCTTCGGTTCATCTAAGATAGAGAATTTAATTTCTAGCTTCTGAGCTTCTGAGCTTTGCGTTGTTGGGATGGAGAGGAAGAAGATGATGATTTCGCTTCTCTTGTGGGTTCTGTCTGCTACCCATTTCTGCTTGGTCACAAGCAGAAATCTTGCTGAGGTTGAAGAGCAGAAGAACAACTACGGCAATGATCCCCATGCATGGAGCTCGCCAAGTCGTAAGGCTTCTTACTTGATTAATCTTAAACAAATTTTATAATTTTTAATTACAGACTTCTTATATATATTTATAATTATGCCATTTTTATTTTAATTTTTGGTTTCAGATTCCCATGACAGCCCGTTATGTCAAACTCCTCCTAGCTCTGGCACAACTCCATCCCACGGCGGTGGAATCCATTATTCTCCTCCAACGACGCCGTCTCATGGCGGTGGAATCCATTACTCTCCGCCTACCACCCCATCCCACGGGGGCTCCGGCGGTGGCGGTGGAGGTGGCGGCGGCTGTAACTGCAACACTCCACCCTACATTACTCCTACTCCTTCCCTCCCTGAGAATCCACCAAGCCCAACCACACCAATCTCTCAAACTCCACCAACTCCTCTAGTTCCCCTCACTCCCCCCTCCCCCACCAATCCATCTCCTCTAATCCCGGACCCGAACCACCCACCCTTCTCATGCAAGTAAGTCTCCTGTTATTTCGTCGAACACCTTTCACTTTCCGCCATTAACAATAAAAGTTCTTCTTTTACAGCTACTGGTTCACTCACCCAACCGCCATTTGGGTTCTCTTCGGCTATTGGGGAACAATAGGCCAAGTCTTTGGCACGTCACCGGCAGCCGGCATCCTCTTCGGAAGAAACCTCAGCGTACTTGAAGCTTTGGGAAACACTCGTGAAGATGGCTATGGAGCCCTACTGCGTGAAGGAACAGCTTCGCTTCTTAACTCAATGGCGAGTAAAAACTTTAATTTTAACACTCAGCAGGTCAGGGAAGCCTTCAATACAGCCATTCAATCGGAGAAGATGGCCGCAGAGCAGGGAAAGATCTTCCAGAAGGCTAACGAAGGCCATTTGAAGCACTGAAAGTCGTCCGGTTTCTTCTGGTTTTGTACTTTTAAGATGTTATGTATCGTAGTATTCCTTGCTACTTCTTTGTGGTTCATATTTTGTAAGTGGATTCAGCTTCTTATGGTTAGTTCTATTGTGTTTGCTTAAATTCCTTCTTGGTTTTGATAATTTTGATTGTCTTTTGAGCTTTATTTTATCATAAAAAATAATATGAAGATAGTTGGTAAGAATTACTTATAACATATATTTGCACATCAAACACAAAAACTCTTTTAGTTGATAATTAAAACTCTCAAACCAGCAGATCAAAATATACTTTTATTTTGTATGTTTATATTTATACATTTGCACATCTATAGTTACCTTTTGTGATGAAATTTCATTTAATTCGCATTTTTTAGGTTATTATATGTAAATGTTTTGTACGTTTTTTTATTATTATATATATTTGGCTTTGCTCACGTTCCGGCGTTTTTGCTCGTGGCAACCGTTGGTGTGCGGTTTGGGATGGTTCGATGGTTCTTTGCTTACACTTTACTGGAGGGTCCGTGCGGGATGACTGGGACGTTGGGAGCCTTGACCAAAGTCTGAGCTCGCTTTTAGCTTATTTTTTTCTTTATTGTTGTCTTTTGTCTGTTTTATTTTTCTTTTTGCTGTTGTATCCTTTTGGTTGTCTTTTAATATATAAAATTTTGTTTTTAAAAAAAAAATATTTGGCTTTGCTCATTGTATGATTTCTTTTCTATAACTTACTTAGAATATGATAATTAATGTATAGAACAATTCACCAAAATGTTTGGTACATAGAGAAGAGAAAAGGAATTAATAATGTTCGCATATTTATAGAAATTAAATATGTTGGTTAGTAAATTTTCATTATGTATGAACAAAATATAGTAATAATTAATTCTCGACTTAATGAGCTAAAACAAGAAGGATAAAATTTTTGCTAGTTTATTAAAAAAAGAACTTAAAATAATATTACATGAATATTAGGAATTATTATTTATTATCTACATCAATTTCTTCATAATTTTTTTTATCGTTCGAATCTCTACCCCTTATTTAGAAATAAGGGAGATGTAATTTTTAACTTGTTTTAAATAAAAATATTAAATAATATATTTGCTTTTTTGCACTAAGATCTATATAATTTTAGAGAAAAAAAATATCTAAAAATGAGTTAATTCGTAAGGGCATCTCTAACCAAACACCAAATATATGTTTGCAGCTATCATGAGCCTATTCTCAAACGCTGAATGCTAACATTTTTTTTTTATCTTCTCAAATAAATAGTGTAACGTTAATATTGAGTTGCACCATTCACATAAATGCATTTTTTTAATAAAAAAGAAAGGATATAATATACAGAGAGTTTTTTTTTTTTATGTTAAAAATGACGATTTTTAGCTGGATATTTATTATTGTTTGATATGAATATTATTGTATTTTAAAGTAAAAAAATGAGTTTTTTCGTTGGAGATGCCCTAAGAGATTTGTGTCAATCTTTGAAGATGCAAATACTTGTGTTGCCGGCTAGAATATATGTCTTAGCGTTGCATAGATATCCAGCTTACACATAGAGAACACAAGATTTTTTACGTGGAAAACCCTTGAAAGGGGAAAAACCATAGAGCCTAGTCTAGTTGAAAATGATTCCACTAGAATTTGAGTCGGTTACAATGGGCTGACTTGCCTCCGAGAGCGATCAGATTACAAGTAATACTTATACGATAGAAGTCCGGGTGTCAGGTGATGGTCTGGCAGAACTTCAGGCCTCAGATGGTGGTCAGGCAGAACTCCGGCTCTTAAGTGATGATCCGGCGAAGATGAGGACCTCCGGCGGTGGTCAGGTGAAGGTGAGGGCCTCCGGCGGTGGTCCCGCGAAGGTGAGGGCCTCCGGCGATGGTCTCGCGAAGTTGAGGGCCTCAGACTGTGGTCCGGCGAAGGTGAGGGCCTCCGGCAGTGGTCCGACGAAGGTGAGGGCCTCTGGCGGTGGTCCAACGAGACTCCGGCGAAACTCCGGCGGTGGTCAAGGAATAACTTCTTCCTTATCTTCTCTTCTTGCTTGGATCCCTTTTTATGAGAAATGAGGGATCTATTTATAGATTTCTGGAGTGGCATGACCCGTAAATAAGTGAGAGATCAAAAAGTGGTTGGATGGACGACCGATATTGAATTCCTTGATGATGGACCGTTCGTCAGACATTTGGAAGCCTTAATGATTTCGAAATTCAATGATATTGGGCTCGTTGGATTCGTCTCATCGAGCCTCTCAATTCGACTATAAGCTTGTCATATTTGAAAACCGTTTGGTAACTCAAACAGTACGAATCTTCAAACAGCACTTTGGGTCCTTTATTTGGACTCATTTGGGCTCGGATTGAGTCGAATTTGGTGTCTTTGGGTTTGTATTTCCGAGACGCTCAGTTTGACTATAAGTTTGCTGAAATCGGAGTTCGAATGGTCCCAATTTTAATTTCAAAAGTTTCCAACTTGATTTTGCATCAAGATTCGTGCCCGATCAAGATAACTTTTTGATGATATATCAACTTGCATAAACAAAAGAGAATTATTCGGTTGAAGAAGATATGGAAGGTTTTCAGTCACTCAGGAGTTACTTATGAAATATAAATAAAATTATGTAAAGTTATGTAATTTGTTTTAGGTACAATGACCGATTCATATCAAATAATTTATTATATTAAATAATAAAAAATAAAAATATTTTATGTTGTGAATGAGAAAGATGGGGACAGTATACTTTGGTTTGTCAGATCAACCCGAACCCAACATGTTTTTTCAAATGAGTCGAATCCGGGAACCCGAACCTGACCCATTTTGAAATCAGGTCGAGTTCGAGTCGGCTTTCGTGTTGTATCAATTATTAACGTTCCTAATCTTGATTGTAATTTGTACGGGTCAGTTAAGGCAAACTCACATAAGCATTAGATACGTAAGACTCGAACTCAAGACCTTTTTGTTTATAGTCGAAGCACTCTACTAACAGATCAAGATGAGCTGAGTCTCATCTAAATGCCTAGTTCAACAAAATTTGAAGTTACAAATATAAGATTTGTTGATATCTTCCTCATAAATATTACTCGTGATTTTCTAAGCAGACCCTAACTTTTCAATTTAAATATCATTCATTATGATGGTTATAATTGTATTTTCAATTTGTAAAACAAAATGAGTAAACATTTTCTCACAAAACATCATAGTAAATTTTTTTAAAATTTTTATTTATTTATTTTGACATTCCTCCAATCCCTTCAAATGGTACAAATCCTATATAACATTTTATAAAAAAATTCAAAATCCATAATTTCCATAATAAACTTTTGAATTTCATCCCAAATTTTATTATAACTCCTAAATTTCATCAATTTTTTGTTTAAATTGGTCAAAATTTAATAAATAAATATATATTTATAATAAATTTTAAATCAAATTGGATTTGATTGAAATAAACAAAACTGAATTTTCACAGTTTCACCACAGTTTAAAGCATTTATCAACACATCTATAACAGTCGGCACATAAATGGTCAAAATATTAGATTTCACACGTGCCATTTTTTCATTTGTCCATTCTATAACCTTACAGGTGAATTAAAAGCTCATTTATATTTATTCATTTAAAAATTTAATTATATCTATGAACTATGAACAATAAAGTTTGAATATTAAACCCAAATGATAATTTTTACCCTAAACTTCATTGTCATGGTGAGTTTCATTATAAACTCTCTCTTCCTCAATTAATTTTTCTATGCGGATGTCGAACGCAGTTCGGATACCAATCAAAATGCATCACATCACCAATTTGCTCGGTACATGACTCTGTACCGCAGCTCGGAACCGTTGATATGACGCAATCTGATTGGTCTCTAGATGACATTATGCTTCCCGTCTCCACAAAATAATTTCTCCTTTCACTCACATTAGTGATAGGTTTTAATGTATAAATTGATATTTTTTTTAGCATGCTAGTTAAATTTTTGATATGCAAAAAAATAATATTTAAAATCTTAGTATGTAAATACTATTTTTTTAAATGGTATAGATGTAAATTTCCTTATAAAACGGAAAAATTATTACTTGCGGTCCGGATTGGCGTCCGGGCTCCGCTCTGCACCTAATAAGCTTTCCATAAAACGGAACCAAATTTTTTCCGTGTTCTTGCCGTCAACCTCTTTTCTCCTATCGTCTCCGTTCTTTCTCTCCACCACCCTCTACAAAACGAGGAGTCCGTCCTAATTCTCCCCGTGGCTTGAAGAGCATAATTTTGCACGAGTCGCTTCGTCGGCTTCTTCGTTGCTGTTCGACTTCGCGGCAACGAGTGGCTTATTCGGTTCCTTCGACGACCTTCCCTTCCTGTCGGATCGGAAGTCACCACATTTTGATCGAAGCAACGAGGGGAGCTCGCTCGCTGTGAAGGTAACTATCTTTCTCCCTTTCGTGCCCTTCTTCGGCCAAATTGCGTGAGTCCGCCGGATTTCAGGATTTACTTAATCTTGGATTACGATCCAAAGAGGGGACAGAGGAGTTATTCCTCCGTGAGATTTAACGGTTGGCAGGAGTTGGCTTAAATCCTGTTGCCAAACAGTCCCTAATGTTTCTCTTTCTCTCTTTCTTGTGAGACGTAGATCACGAAATTCCTAATGCCATTTCTCTTATCTTTGTCATTTAAGTTAAGGATAAGTGTTGATCTTTTTTGTTATTTTTTACTATCCGGTTGGGATGTGATTAGGGTTATTGTATACAGATTCAGGATAATTTATCCTCTAAAAAGCGCTTTTTTTCAAATTGATCTGGATTTGCTGATGGAAAGGGAGAGGTGAGGTTTTCCCAAATTTGTTATGTAAAAGAAAGGAGTTTGATGGCGTTTGGGTGGATCTTGAACAAAGAAGCCTCCTTGTTTTGTTTGTCTGAATTTCATGGATTTAGCTCCTTATGAGCACTTTCACTCGTTTAGATTTCGTGCACCTACTGAACATACTTTCTATGATTTTATTCATGCTTATTCTAAGTGCAAAATGTGTGAGTGGATTAGTGGGTTTCAATGAGGTTGTGGTGTTCATGCTCTAAGATGAATCCTGATAATTGTTATTTTTGACATAGTTTTTAAAATAAAATTAGGTAGTTAGAATTCAATTTTTAATTTGTCTTGGTGCTTATTGGGTTAATAAAAAAAATCTCATCCAAGAAAATCACTTGAGAAGCCATTTCTAAACATATATAAGAAATTATACGAACCATTTTTGTAGAATTTGATTATGTATTCTACTATGTGAAAATACGGTTGTCGGCCTTTCGGAAACGCCTTTTGTTTTAGTGATTACTAAGGCAGGGTGCAATAAAATTCCTGTGTGTATATGTTTTTATTTTTTATTTATTTTTGGTTCTTATTAGTTGGGGATTGACTATAGGAAACCAAATGGACATTTAGGTTTTGAAAGAACTGATCTTGATTTATCTGTGAATTGTGCATTAGATCATCATGTATTGCTCTAAAATGCAATTTGGAGTTAATTCCAATAGTTCATCATTTTATTTTATATACTAATTAAAAAGATTATAAAATTTTGACCATTTTTAAGTTTTAATGCTTGAATTCATAGTTTTTTTATTAAATTCCTTTTTTAGTAATGCTTTGTTTTGTTATGATGCTTTTGCAAATCTTGTCATATTAAATTTGGTTTGTTCATGAATTAAGTTAATGTGTCATACTTTAAAACTATGGGAGTGAGTTATGTAGTGTAGGTTGCTGCTTGATACTAATGTTTCTCAAAATCAATTTAGATTATGCCAAGTAGGTCTACTATGGAAGCCATACATTTATTGAGAGGTTTTATGGAGAAATATAGAGTGAATAAGGAGGATCTACATATGATATTTATTGATTAGAGAAAGTGTATGATAAAGTTCCAAGAGAAGTGCTATGGAGAGTTTTTGAAAAGAAAGGAGTTAATAACGCTTGTATTCAAATCATTAAAATATGTATGCAAGAGCTACTACTTGTGTTCAAACACAAGGTGGTTTGACCAAGTATTTTCCTATTTTGGTTGGATTACATCGAGCATCAGCCTTAAGCCCATATCTTTTTGCTTTAGCCATGGATGTTCTCACTAGACATTTACAAGAGGATGTACCTTAGTGTATGTTTTTTTGTTGATGATATTCTTCTTGTTGATAAAACTAGAGAGGGAGTTGAAGGTAAACATGAATTATGGAGGTCAACCTTAGAGTCTAAAGGTTTTCACTTTAGTAGATCTAAAACTGTATATATGGAGTGTGATTTAAGTAGTAATAGACCTAGTAAGGGGATTGTAACTTTGGGCGATCAAGTCATTAATAAGAGTACACATTTTAGATATCTTGTATCTATTGTTCAGAGTGATGGTGAAATAGATGGAGATATTATCAGCAGAATTCAAGTTGGATGGTTGAAGTGGAGGAATGCATCGGGCTTGTTGTGTGTTAGAAAAGTCCTCCTCAAACTTAAGTAAAAATTATATGAGATTGTGGTGAGACCTGCAATGCTTTATGGTGCTGAATGTTGGCCTTTAAAAGAGAGCATACTACTAAGTTAAGTGTTGCAGAGATGAGGTTCTTAGGTGGATGAGTGGCTTTACCCTTAGAGATAGGATATGAAATGAGCATATACATGAGAAGGTTGGAGTAGCTCTAATGGAAGATAAGATTAGAGAGAGTTGCCTTAGATGATGATGTAGGTGATCTCTGTAAGGTTAGCAAAACAGAGGAAGCCAAGAACAATAGAACAATACCTATACTTTTGTTTGGTAAAATTGATGAAAAACTGTTTTTAGCTATTAGGTTTCTTTCATCTATATCCTTCCTCCCTCAATATTGTAAAAAAGACAAAAAACGATAAAAGGTGCTAATAGTACTATATAAATAACTATAATATTGTGGTAGTGGAGCATAAACTAGCTAACAAAAATATATGACTAGTGCAATGTAAGATGTTCCTCAACTCTTCCTTAGGTAAGGATGCTCCGCATCATATGCCCCCGCCGTCGTGAAAAGCTTATGTGCTAACTGATTCAAATTGTGGTGCACTCTCATCGAGTGGCACATAAGAGTAGATGTCAGCGACATTAAAGGTTTGGGAAGTATTAAAATCAGATGGTAAATCGATAACATAAGCGTTGTCATTGATCTTCTTGCTTATAGGGAACGAGCCCCATTTTCGTTTCCCTAGATTTGAGTAATTACCGGTAAGGAGATGTTCTTTGTGTAGCCGAACAAAAACAAGGTCCCCTGGACTTAAAAGCTTCTCACGCCTGTGTGTATCAGCAGCTTGTTTGTACTTAGCATTTGAAGATTGTAATTTCAGTCGGATATTGGAAAGCAATTCGGTGAACTGATCAGCTAGGATAGAAGCTGACTTGCTTTTGGATTTTGGTAGAACTGCAATATCAAGAACTGTGTTGGGCAATTTAGTATAAACAATACTAAAGAGTCACATATCAGTAGACCTATTTTGCATTGATATGAAAGAGAACTCTGCTTGGCCGAGAAGTTCATCCCATAATTTAGGGTGCTCTTGGACGAGGCAACGTGGTAGATTACTAAGCGTACGGTTGACAACTTCGGTTTGCCCGTCCATTTGTGGATATATGAAGAGCTTAATTGAATTTAAGCGTGTTAGCGTTTCCAAAGCTCCCTCCAAAAATGGCTAATGAACTTGATATCACAATCAGAAGTAAGGCCTCTAGGGATGCTGTGAAGACGAACAATTTCTTTAAAGAAAAGTTTGGCAATATTGTGAGCATCAAATGTTTCCTTGCAGGCAATGAAGTGCGCCATTTTGAAAAATCGATCTACGACCACCATGATATTGCAATTCTCTCCATCTGTCTCTGATCTTTCGCTATCTGGGCTAACTTCATCGTCTCCCTCAACCCTTTCAGCCTCAACAGTCAGAAGTATGTTCTTATGTCGGGCTTTAGGTCCTTCATGAAATTTTCTTCCAGCACTATCTTCGAAATCAACTTTAACCTCCCCGACAACAACTTAAATCTCTCCTTATACTCCATAATGGTCTCCTCCTAAGTAAAGGCAAAGAATTTCTCATGTAGATCCTCTTCCCGAATGGCTCGGAAACGCTCTAACAAGTAATCCTTAAACTCCTCCCAAGAATGGATCGGATATCTAGCCTCCCTCTATTGGAACCAAGTTAGAGCTTTCCTCTCCAGACATAGCCCTGCGGCTATAAAATTCTTCTCCTTGGTCAACAATTTACCACGACATACCTCTCCACCCGATACACCCACCCATGGGCATCGTCCTCTTCAAATATCTCAACTTCCTCACCCTAGCATCTACACTCCAACTTCCTCTCCCTCCAAAAATTCCCTCCGTGCATCAAGGGTGGGAATCCCACCTCTCTTTCATCCTTCTTACATGACCTGATCTCCATGGCTCAGCTCGACCTCCTCCATCTTCGGTCGCCCACTTCCCTTGCCCGAAATGCCTCACATAGTGGTTGTCCGCCCTACCACATCCACCACAAAATTTCCTTTTTGTGGTCCCCTCATCTGAAAACTTATTTCACCCCTTATCAGAGCCCTAGGAGGTGATTCTTGATGAAGGAAAATCTCCGCGTCAAACTCCTCCCGTTCGGTCTCCTTTCCCTTAGATTCAACCAATGTCAAATATTGGTTAGGGTTAGCAATCATAACAACCAATGGAGTTTTTTATTGCATCTCCATGAGCTTCCCTCCTTACGTCCTCCAACCTTCCAGATCGGCTCTCCATTCGATTTTCGTGGTTGAAAGCCTTCGATGGTTGAGAATTTTTCCTCTATCCCGGATTTGATTTGCCCCACTTAGCCTTCCAACAAATCCACCACCTTTGCTGTTATCTCTCCAAAATCTTGCTCTAATATCAATTTGATGTATCTTGGAATTAAAAACAACAAAATAGATAGAACAAAAAAGCAGGAATATAAATATGAGGGCTGATCTTTTATTACTTCTTCAATAATAACGAGAGATATAATTAATCTACTATTCGAGAGATAGATAAGCTCTTCCAAAAACTCTAGTCGCCACTAGGAAACTCACATAAAATCCTAGAAAATAAACTCATCACATATCTCATGATAACCCTAAACAAAACTCCTCCTTAAATAGCCCTCACACACATTATACACAATTAAAACATTTCTGAATAATATAAACACAATTAGGAAACATTCATATATAATTAATACTTTCCTAAACAACATAAATATAATTAGGAAACCTTCCTAAACAGCATAAACACAAATATGAAACCTTTGTAAATAACTCTCTATTGATTCCTCCTCCTTATGTACTGAATAATAGCTCCCCTAGGCCTCACAAGGCAGATTGAAATCTCCCCCTCTGTTGCCTTTGGTTCCGCCTAGCCAAAGGGCTGGTTCAACTAAGGTTGGGCTAGTCGGTTGGGCTAGCCTAAGCAGTTTGGGCCGGCCAGGTGGCCCTCCCTTAGTATATTAACATCCTCATCTTTGCTAGGTAGGGGTGTCAAAATCAGGTTACTGGTCGGATTCAAATCGAACCTGTATTGACTCGCTACTATTTGACATGACCCAAACCCAATTTGTTTTTGCAGACGGGTCAGAAATTCCAGCCCGAATTTGACCCGTGCGGGTTACCGGACTGACCTGACCTGCGAACCATGAACACAACGGGCGTGATCTAGTTCAGCTGAAGAGGGCGTGTGTGGGGTGCGGTGCCGGAGGCAGGAGCAAGCTTGCGGGGGGTGCGGGCGGGGTAAACACGAGCAAGTGCGGATGCGAGCGAGGGATGCGCTACGACACTGACACGAGCTGGGTGGACGAGAGCACTGGACGTGGGCAAACGTGAACGAGCAATAGCGGTGTTGTGCGGTAGTGCCGGTAAGAGGTGCGAAGTCCGGAGCGAGGGATCGTGATAGCTTGTTTCCAGGTCAACCCGGGCTGATTTCAGGTTTCTGGGTCAGCCTAAATCCTACCTTATTTTATGAACGGGTCGAAAAATAAAACTCGAACTCAACCCGTTTCGCAAACGGGTTGACCCGAAACTGGAATTTTCTTGGTCGAGTCTGGGTCGGGTTTCAGATTAGATCAAATATTGACAGTTGACACCTCTACTGGTAAGCTTAACTTAATTTTATGCTTCTATTTTAATGACCAATATTCTTCGTCATAAAGCATTGCATGTCTCACATCCATCTTATAGAATTTTCCCTTTAGTTTAAGGGGTACTTTTCGATCACATAACAAGTCCAATGCATTCCACTTTAATCATCCAACTTGAATTCAAACATAAAATTATCCCAAAAAAATCAAAAGCCCTCTATATCCTGTTGTAATTTGAATTTCAATCCATTTTTTTAGACTTAACAGCTCCTGATCTTGATTATCAAGCCTTCCATTGACTAACTATCTTTGCTGATGAACTCCTGGAAATGCCCTCACAATCTTCACAATTTCTTTCATGATTATTTAGTCATTAAAATATTAATTAATTATATCATTTCGATCTTCCCACTATTTGATGCCTAAATAATGATGACAGCTTTGCTTTGTGAATTTCGTTGAGGTGGATGGTTGGATTGAGTTTTTAAAATATTAATGAATTAGATCATTTTAATCTTCTCACAATTTGATGCCTAAATCATGGTGATAGCTTTGCTTTATGAACTTCGTTGAGGTGGATGGTTGGATTTCCCACCTCCTTCAGGATTTGATTATTGGATCACAAGTGAAATTACTTCATGATCCTTCAAAGGATATTATATAGCATGATGTTATAATTTCTATTTTTAAGCAGAAAATGACGTCTTTGCTCTTACTGGGACTTCTGGTTTATAGTTTTCTCTTGTCCTAATTTATTTCTGCTGCTTATTGTTTCCTCTGATTTCCTGGGAGGCTTTTATGACCTTCATCCAAGCATATTTTTATAATACATTTTATCGTCTTTGCATTCACATAACCTTTATTTTTACTTAATTCTTTCAAAAACATTTAAAACAGGTCTTAATAAACCTATGATGTATCATTTTTAGGAAATAAAAAGTTGTAAATTCTCTACTATCATGTTTATGCTTGTCAATCATATTTGCATTGTGTGGGTATTTACAATTTCATTCTTTAATGGAAGAGAAAGGTTCATCATTTTTTTTTTTGTCTAAAAACTAAATTTTATGTTTCTCTTCTGCATTTTCATTCACTAAATCCGATAGCTCTTTCCAGGAGTTTGTTTCCAGTTTGAGAATCTGAGATATTTTTCAGCAAGTAGAAAGGAATGGAAGTCTATAAGCCTAAAAGCATCCTCATCACTGGGGCTGCTGGTTTCATTGCATCCCATGTTGCTAACAGGCTCATTCGCAACTACCCTGAATACAAAATCGTGGTACTTGACAAGCTTGATTATTGCTCCAACCTTAAAAACCTTTCCCCTTCTCGATCTTCTCCCAACTTGAAATTTGTTAAGGGTGATATTGCCAGTGCCGATCTTCTCCACTATCTTCTGATTACGGAGTCCATTGATACCATAATGCACTTTGCTGCTCAGACTCATGTTGACAATTCTTTTGGAAACTCCTTTGAGTTCACCAAGAACAATATATATGGAACACATGTTCTGCTGGAGGCCTGCAAAGTCACTGGTCAAATTAGAAGATTTATCCATGTCAGTACAGATGAAGTTTATGGAGAGACCGATGAGAATGCCATCGTCGGTAACCACGAAGCTTCTCAGCTCCTCCCTACGAATCCATATTCTGCAACCAAAGCAGGAGCTGAAATGCTTGTTATGGCTTATGGAAGGTCCTATGGCCTTCCTGTGATAACAACCCGCGGTAACAATGTCTATGGACCTAATCAATTCCCAGAAAAGCTGATTCCAAAGTTCATCCTTCTAGCAATGAGAGGACAGACCCTTCCAATTCATGGAGATGGTTCTAATGTCAGAAGCTACCTCTATTGTGAAGATGTTGCCGAGGCTTTCGAGGTTGTTCTTCATAGAGGAGAGATTGGGCATGTTTATAATATTGGGACAAAGAAGGAGAGGAGGGTGATTGATGTAGCAAAAGATATCTGTAAGCTTTTCTCATTGGATTCCAAGACAACAATCAAGTTTGTCGACAACAGGCCCTTCAATGACCAAAGATACTTTCTTGATGATCAGAAGCTGAAAATCTTGGGTTGGTCAGAAAGGACTACATGGGAAGAGGGTCTCCGAAAGACAATTGACTGGTACACAAATAATCCTGACTGGTGGGGAGATGTCTCAGGAGCACTTTTACCTCATCCAAGAATGCTAATGATGCCTGGCACAGAAAGGCATTCTGATGGCCCTGATGAAATCAAAAGCTTGTTGTCTCCACCCAATAATGTCAACAATCCAAGCCAAATGGTAACACCATTATCAAAAACCTCCTCTTTGTCTGCAAAAACTCCTTTAAAGTTCTTGATATATGGCAAAACTGGATGGATTGGTGGCCTTCTTGGGAAGATATGCCAGAAACAAGGCATATCATATGAGTATGGAAAAGGCCGATTAGAAGATCGTTCCCAGCTCCAGTTGGACATTCATAATGTGAAACCAACCCATGTTTTCAATGCCGCCGGCGTGACCGGCAGACCAAATGTCGACTGGTGTGAATCTCATAAGCCTGAAACGATCCGCGTTAATGTTGTTGGCACTTTGACTCTTGCAGATCTTTGCTTGGAGAACGGATTATTACTGATGAACTATGCAACTGGGTGTATATTTGAATATGATCTAAATCACCTGGAAGGCTCAGGTATTGGATTCAAGGAAGAGGATAGCCCAAACTTTACTGGTTCCTTCTACTCCAAGACCAAAGCTATGGTAAGCTTCTTTAACAAATTGTTCTCAAAATCTATAACAATCTCATCTATCTGACTGTCTTATGTGATGCAGGTTGAGGAGCTTCTGAAAGAATATGAAAATGTCTGCACTTTAAGAGTCAGAATGCCGATATCTTCTGATCTGAACAATCCTCGTAACTTCATTACAAAGATCAGTCGATACAATAAGGTTGTGAATATTCCAAACAGCATGACTGTATTGGATGAGCTGCTTCCAATTTCTATTGAGATGGCTAAGAGAAACTGTAGAGGCATATGGAATTTTACCAACCCAGGTGTTGTGAGCCACAATGAGATCCTGGAGATGTACAAGGCTTACATTGATCCCAGCTTCAGTTGGGTCAACTTCTCGCTCGAAGAACAAGCGAAGGTGATCGTCGCGCCTCGCAGCAATAACGAATTGGATGCTTCCAAATTGAAGAGAGAGTTTCCAGAGCTTCTATCGATCAAAGAATCTCTCATAAAATATGTGTTTGAGCCCAACAAGAAACAAGCAAAATAATGCAATTGGTGACCCGATTGGAAAAATCTCAGGCTTCGTTTGGGATGACTTTTTTATTACTTCTTAAAATAGAATTTACTAAAATTTCGTTTTAAAAAGCAATAAAAAAGTTATCCCAAACGAAACCTCAATTTTCAGAATTCCTTTTGTTCCATTGAAAGGTTTATTTCATTTTTAAAATAGCATTGGCAATTAGTTTGTTTGTTGATCTGTATGAGCCACAAAGCCAATGACTACTATTACTATATATGTTGAATTCCTATGTGTTGTTTATGTGAAATATTGGGAATAAATTTGGTAAGTAAATTTAGTTTATAAGCTGTGTTAAGATTGCTTTAAGCTATTGAGAATATGGTAGAATGTTAAATCTCAATTGGGAAAAAGATTTGTTATTTCAAAGTGATTTTTATTTTTTTAATAAATCAATTATTTGATATAATTTAAGCTAAAATGATGAAAATTCTGAAACAAATTGAATTATTTTACAAATAAAATATCATAATTAATATAATTAAATGTACATAATTTATTAAAATTTAAATAAATAAAATCACTACAAATAATTATTTAATTCAAATGAAAGCAATTAAAACCATTGCATTCATTATTTTTCTTCTTTACTTTTAAGTTTTAAGTGTAATATATATATATGTTGCGTGCTAGAAAATACGCGGCAGTAGAGTTTGTAAATTCGCGTCCGAGCGTTGCACGTATATTTAACACACAAACAATAAAATGAAAGAACACCGGGATTTATACGTGGAAAACCCAAAAAGGGAAAAAACCACGGGGTCTCGCCTAGTTGTAAAATTTCACTAGTGTTTTTGTATATTACACGAAACTGATTCGTCCCATAAATCGGGACGATCAGATTACAACTTGAAGCAAATTTACAAAGTTTTGCAGAATCCCTCGTTTCCCGAAAATTCGGCAGAGTTCCGGCGTATTCAGGCGGCGGGAAGAGCTCCGGCGGTGGTCGAGGAGGAGAGGATTCGTCTTTTCCTCTTTTCCTTCTTCTTCTCTCTCTTTACTTGAGTCCCCTTTGTGAAGAATGAGGGCTCTATTTATAGTTTTTCTGGAGTGGCATGGCTCGTAAATAGGTGTGCGATCATGGGCGAATAGGGAATGGTTTGAATGGACGGCCGATATTGAACCCTTCGATCGTGCACCGTTCGTTGGACATTTGGAGGCCTTAATGATGTCGGAATTCGGCGATCTTAAGCTCGTTGGATTCGTCTCGTCGAGCCGCTCGATTCGAGTATAAGCTCGTTAAAATTGGAGACCGTTTGGTAACTCAAATTGTGGTTCGAACCTTCCAACAGCGCTTTAGGTCCTTGATTTGGACTCATTTGGGCTCGGATTGAGTCAAATTTGGTGTCGTTGGGTTCATATTTCCAAGACGCTCAGTTTGACTGTAAGTTCGCTGAAATCGGAGTTCAGGAGCTTCCGAATTTAATTTTTTAAGTTTCTAACTAGCTTTTGTCTCGAGATTCGTGCCCGATCAAGATAATTTTGTGATGTGGTATATATATATATATAATAGAGTAAGTTTAATTCGGTGTATACGAGTTTGATGAAAAGGGTTCAGTAATAATTTTTGTGGCATTTATTAATTAATTAATGATATCATTTTTTACATGTACATTTATTTATTTATTAAATGTTAAATATGTTAGCACAAAAAAAAAAAAATTTGGGTAAAATGAGGGCAGAGCCCTATTCCATTAAACAGGAAATAGTTACATGTGTAAGAGAAATAAGGTGAAGCAAAATACACTAAAGAGCATGAGAAGCCAAAAGATGCATAAAGAAAAGGCTAGCACAAATAATTGAACTATAAACTAGAGAGGGAGGTGGAACAATCTAACCCGGGGTTAGGCGGGCTCAACCATAGAGATTGCCGAAGATCAAATATTCCCCTGGTTACAAATAATAAATCAGCCACAGCATCATGAATGGACAAAAATTGCCGTCCAAGGAGAGAGGGGCAATCCGAACATCATCGCCATCAAAAAACAAAACCCATCAGCTAATTGGATCAGAAAAAGGCAGAAAACTATTCCAGAACAGCCAAGAAAAGGCTGGAGAAGTCCCAAAAAATTAGCTGAAGAGATTACAGCCAGTCTAGCAGCATAACCGAGTTTTTCCATTTAGAAATTTTCAAGAAAGCAGCTCTTCGAATCATGTGAGAAACCGGGAGACAATTGAGGCTTGAGAATTTCCAAACTTCCTCTGATTTCTTTCTTTCCAGATCATGTATACCGAGCAACAGGCCAAAAGGAAATATACAGGCTGGACTTTAACAATTGCCTCAGAAATGCTCTCAAACACTTGTAACAAATTAGGCCTTAGCAGATGGCTAATAAGAGGGGGCAACAAATTTCTTATGATAACAAAAGAAAAGTTACATTCGAAAAATATATGGGAAGAAGATTCAGCACATAAGTTGCAAAAGAACAAATTGAGGATTAACTTCATATAAGGTTGTCCGTAGTTTTTAAACCATTAGAGATCGTCATTCAACAGTAGATAAAATAACGCAAGGCATGTTTTTTGTGCCAATTAACCGTGGAAAGCTGTCTATAAAAGTAGTTAATATACTTAGTGAGACTCATCCTATTACTATCACTCCAATGCAGTCAAATCGAATTATCTGACTGAAGCAGGTTCAGAATATTCAGAGCAGTCGGGGAAAGAGTGATGGGAACCTGCCACCCATCTTCTTTTAATAAAACGTCAATAGAAGCATTAATGGGGAAGAGCCCTTGCAAAAGAGAAAGCCCAAGAACCTCAGCAATCTGTTTACCTTCAATCCAATAGTCCTAATAAAGGGAAATTTGAAAGGTATTACAAACATTAAAATGGAATTTCTCTCTAGCTGTAATTGCATTCTTACATAGAGACTTTCAAAAATGGGTAGCTTTTGATGGGGGAGGCTTCCATGGGGAAGTGTACTTAAACAAAAGCCAATTGGACAAAAAATCCCTATTGTTATAGATCCTGACAATGAGAGCACAATGATAGCTAAAATGTAGAGCTTTTAAAGAAGGGATACCAAGACCTCCATGATTTTTGGGTTTGCAAGTATTTTTCCACAATATCATATGCAACTTCTCAAGAGAAATGTCACCAAAAAAAGAGAAGTTTTGCACAAAGTTTATCAATTTGCTTCATAAAAGTTTTTGGTAAAATTGCACCTCTAATCCAATAAGCAATGGTATTTCATATAGTAAAGCGAAGGTATTGTAATCACTCAGCAAATGATAAACATTTTGTTTTCCAACCGGATAATTTGTGGCTAATAACCTCCATCAAACTCGAGAAATATACAACTTTAAGGTTGTAGGAAGAGATAGGAATACCAAGATAAGTAATGCACTTAGAGGGAATAGGAATTTTAAGAGTGCTACAAATGGCGTCAGCATTGAGGCAGTTAGAGGGAAGGATGATAGAGCTCTTGCTATAAGTAATGTAAAGGCCGGAGGCAGAAGAGAAAGTTTCCAAGATCTTGACCAAACTATTATAATTTTCAACATCTGCTTTTCCAAAGATGAGAAGGTCATCCGCATATAAAAGATGAGAGATGCGAATATCATCCACCATAGGAGCTTGGAATTTAGTATCATCATCCAAAAGGAAAGAGAAAGCATCCATGACCATACAGAAGAGTAACAGACTTAAGGGGCAACCTTGTCTGATCCCAATAGTAGAGGAAAAGTATCCCTCTATGGCACCATCAATACATAGAGAAAAATTGACGTCCTTAATGCAAGCTTCCACCCATTTTATGAACAAGCTAGGGAAACCCTTTTGCGAAAGCCTTGCTAAAATAAAATCTCTAAAGATATTATCAAAGACTTTTTTAATATCAAGCTTGGCACACATGATTCTATATTTGGAGGAGATTCTAGAATGAAAGAGCAATTCTTTAGCAAGGATAATGTTGTTAGTGGAGACTCGCTTATGAATAAACCCCGTTTGATTCCCTTTAATAATGAGAGGCATTATGGGTCTAAGGCGTGAAGCCAAAATTTTAGTAATGATTTTGTAGATGGTGTTGCAAAGCGAGATAGGTCTGAAATCCGATCTAGAAGAAGCGTGGCTGTTCTTAGAAATAAGAGTGATAGCAGTATTCTTGATAACCCGAAGCATATAAGAACTGTGAAAAAAACCTTGATTGCTTTGCAAATAGAAGGGCCAGTGATAATCCAAGATCTCTTGTAAAAATTAAAATTGAAACCGTCAGGTTCAGGAGCAGAGCAAGAGGCTCCTAAAAAAATCACCTTCTTAATTTCTTGATCAGTGATGTGCAATATAAAATTATCAATGAGATCAAGCGGGATACAGTTCTTTTTAGGAAAAATATTTTTATCAACTGACTGTAGGGATTGCGTATTGAAAAGGATTTGAAAGTGTTTGATGGTAGTCTTGATAGCGTCAGTGTAAGAAGAGGAGTTGGACGACATGGTGAGAGATAAAACAGTCTTTTTGTAGTTTCTTCTAATCTTAATTCTAGAGAAGAGGAACTTTAAATCATCTTCACCATGTGACAGCCATTTAGTTTTAGCCTTTTGCATAATCCAAGAAGTCCAGTTAGAAGTGGCCAACACTAGATTACTGATATTTTTGAGGGCAAGGGAGATACCAGGATTGTTGTAATCCCTGCTTAACATATTTTGTAAAACTTCTTGCTTTTGATGAAGAGAATCCAAATGTCGACCCAATAAATTGGAATTGGCCCAATTATTACCTTTGATTGAGAGCTCAACTGCTTAAGCTTATTACAAAAATCAACCAAAGGATGCCCAATATATTTAGAAGAAAAAATGGACATCAATGTCATACAGAATTGATCAATTTTAGCCCAATAGTTTTTGTAAAGAAATCTATGAGGGGTGGAAGGTTTTTCACCAGGAAGAAGCACAATTGGAAAATGATTAGAGCAAAAGGGGCTTTTTACGACATAGTGAGAGTTGGGAAAAGAAGCCATCTAATCATCATTCACTAGCATCCGATCAGTCTTAATATGAATAAGCTTATCCAGCCTTTTGTTAAACCAAGTATAAGGATTTCCCACAGAAGCAATGTCATTAAGCTTCATATTGAAGATGGTATCACTAAAATCATGCAGCCGACTTTGCATTAGAGCATTATCCCCAAGATTATCGGAAGGGAATCTACAGCAGTTGAAATCCCCCGTTAAAATTCAAGGGATCTCCTCCAACGATTCAATAGAAGTAATATCCTCCCAAAGCCCCTTCCTCTCATCCAAATTATTGGAAGCATATATAATAGATAAAAGAAAAGGCTTAGAAAAAAAAAAAAAAAAACATACCAGAGATCATCTGAGAAGATATGAAAAAAGGGTTGAAGGAAATCCTATCAGGGGACCACTTAATCCAAATTCTTTCAGAATTGGAGCAAGGAAATTGTTGCAGCTTTCTTCCTGATCAAAAACCAAGTGGTTGTTACAAAAAAGGGAATCAGACAAAGCAGAGAGGTGAATCATGTTTTCCAGAATACATAACATATCTAGCCTCAAAGATTGGGCAAGTTTCCTGCAGCAAATAACCTTGTCAAAGGAGGAAAAACCTCTAACATTCCAAAGCTGTGATGGAAGGACTAATCATTTATTTTTGGCATTTGGGGGTTTTTTGGCTCGCCCCTTGGAGGATTTTTTTTGGGCTGAAGTGGTGGTTTTGCTAGTAGAATTGCTATGATGCTCTTCATGGTATGATGAGGAATTATCTGAAGAGAGAGTATCCTGCTCATTGTTGCAACTCTGAAGAACATTGAATTTATTTTTTGTGGAGTCTATAGTGGTCTTCAGAGAAAAAGAGGGAGCCTCCTCCTGAACCTCCTCCGTCTTCCCAAGGGAAGGATCGGTGGGTGAGTTGAGGTTTGGAATGGTGGGGTTGTTATGGGATGATTGAACCACTAGTTCTGAAATGAGGCATGTGGAGGTTGCTGTTATGGGAGGGTTTGAGGAACAACTAGGAATGGAAGAAGGATCAATTGTTGGGTTTGGGTGAGAGGAAGGAGTGTTTATGATAACTTGTGGTGGGGTGAAGGTGTTAGAAGAAGCGGGGTGAGAGAAATTCAAGCCCGCCTTAGTCTAGGTGCAGGGGGAATTTTGTTTGTGTCTTTAATGGCTTGTGGAGAGGAGAGTTGTGAAGAATTGAGTAGATTATTGCCTTTAGGAGCAGGAGGTCGAGATTGGAATCTATTCTGAGGCGATCTGGAGAAGCTGCATCCATGGGTTGGAGGCTCAGAAGGAGGTTTTGGGTTAGGGTTTGATGGACAAGCAGCTGCAGAATGAGTCAGTGTATTACAGTGAGAGCATAAATTCAGTTTCCACTCATATTGCATCTTAAGGTGAATAACTTTTTCTTCCAAGGAAATAGGGATGGAATCTGGGAATTTTGAAGTGGCGGACACTTGAATACAAATGCGGGCATATGTCAGTCTAGTTTTTGCAGCAGTTAGAGCATCAACCGCTATAGGGATACCAATTTTTGAAGCAATCCACGAAATACCTTCCGAATTCCAGCACACGAGGGGAAGGTCAATGATCTTCACCAAAATGGAAACTGGGAAAAAAATTTCCCTAGTCGGTTGAAAGAGAGGAGACCATTTTTGGAAAATGAAGGGTACCTAAGAAATGCCACACTCCTTTCGACCAAACCGTCACTGAGGGCTATGAGAAGAAATGTACCTTTAAGTTTCCACACTTTTTTTGCCACTGAAAGAAGAGATTCGTAGTAAGGCCTCTTACCGAGAGAGTATCCGACCAGGCAAAGATCCCATTCAGGGGCAGCCGCGGCCGCAACTATATTTTCTTTGTTGAAAGGCACTATCTCTTCGGGAGTATCCAAGAAGGAGATGGGAAGGGAGGAGGTGGTAGTTTCGGGTAAGGCCACCATGCTGGACCAAAGCCGATCATAGCCCTTAGGAGAAGGTGGAGTAGTGGTCGAGGGTAGTGGGGGGAAATCTTGCGGGGAGAGGAGGGGTTCCATGTGGAGGGAGGAAAAACTAGCCACCAGCAAAAGCCGGAGCCCCTCACAGAGGCAGAAACTTCAAGGTGGACGAAGGGCGGCTAGGGGTTTCACAAATCGCCAAACTCTAGCAGAGCCTTTTTTCAAATTCGTAATACTTTAAGATTGATGTCCCGTTAGCACAAATTTGATACGAGTATATTTATTAATTTTAATATTTTATTTCATAATAATTCTTATTTAATTTTATATTTTACTCCACTCCTAAATTAAATTTAAAGAATTTATATACATATCCTAAATTTTTTATCTATTTATATTTGTAATATTTATATATTTATACTTATTTATATAACATTTAAATTCTATATAATATTATAAATTTTAATTTATTTTAAATTAATCTAATTTAATATCAATATTTTGATATAATTGAAATATTTAAAATTATATATATATAAATCAATATAAGTTTTAATAATGAATTTATAAAAATTTTGTGGCATATTTATAAATACCCATTGCGATATGATTATCTGATATGTCAAATTACCAAAGTCTCCACCTGAAAAAGGAAGAGAGTCAAAAAAGGGGGATAGGCGAAGAAGGGGGAAGGAGAAAGGGGAAGGCGATTGTCGGATCCCGGAAGAACAATCAGACCCATCTCCATTACCAACATCCTCTTCTGCGTTCGAGGTGCGTGTTTTCCGTTGATTCTGTTCTATAAAAATCTCTTATTTTGATTTTCTACAGTTGTTGATTGCTTGATTTCTTGATGTTTGTGTATGGGATTCTAGGTTTTAATGTTCTTGATGTTTATGCCTAGAATTTCTCCAAAATCAGATTTATCTCCATCTCCAATATCCTCTTTTTTTTAAGAGCCTTAGGCCCGTCTAGGGTCTGCTTTTTGCTCATCCCCATTTCTTCCTTGCTGCTTCGGCTTCGCGTGAATGGAGTTTTGAAAAGGTTCAGGACTTGCTCCTGTCCGATCGGAAGCAACGTCGCTACGAAGGTAACGATATTTATCGTCTTTCGCTCGCTTATTCGGCTAAATCCCGTAAACTCGCTGCCGACTTTGCTCCTTCGACGACGTTCCCTTCCTGTTTGATCGGAAGTTACGACATTTTTTTGATCGGAAGCAACAACGGGAGCTCGCTTGCTGTGAAGGTAATTTTCTCCCTTTCGCGCGCTTCTTCGGCCAAATTCCGTAAATCCGCCGAACCAAAGGATTCGTAAATCCGTGATTTACCACGAAAAGAGGGACTTTTCCGTCAACCGCGGCTTTGATTTACCGTGAGATTTGGTTTTGCATTTTTGGCCGTTTGGCTGGATTTAGCTCAAATCCGGCCTAAATCCTGCATCCAAACAGCCCCTTAAGGTTGTAATTTTTTACTGTCAGGAATGATTTGGGCTAAGTAGTGCTTAAATCCTGCTCAAAGTCTGCATCCGAACAGCTCCTTAGAGTTTTCTGTCTTCTCTAGTTCTGCAAATTGCATGCCTGACGGAAGTTTGATATCAATTCGAGACTGATAACGTCGCAGCCTGCCCCCCTAATCTCATCTCTGTAAAAAATTTTTATCTCCACGCACCTATTTTTTCTTTTATTATTAGGTTTTTTGTTATAGATGACTGATCAACCGACTTGTTTGTTTCATTGTTTGACATTATTTTCTAATTATAATTTTATATTTTATGATAAATGAGATGAGAAATTATGTATGACTGAATGTATTTTTTTAAAGATTATAAATTTATGTTTTGAACTTCAGAAAATGTAGTTATACTTGTTTTCACATATTTTCAAAATACTATTTTAATATTGTTTTTAGAATTAAGATTGACATAAATTGATTTAAGATGATTTATAATAGCGTATATTATGATTATGATATAAAGTTATATTTCATTCGTATTTGTTAGATTTGTGAATAATAATCTATATTCAACCTTTTGAAAAAAATTTTCATTTACAGAGACAGTTTTATGGTGTTTCACCATTCTGAAAAATAATGTGATATAGAGTTAGATTTATTCAGTTTTGTTAGACTTTAAAAATTGTTAATTTGTGCCCCTATTTAAAAAATTATTATTTTTTACTTCGCCCCTAAACCAGGCGCTCCTCCTTGGCACCAAGTTGTCATCTACATATCCTCCCTCTGATGAGAAGCTGCCACTTGCGGCTTGACTTAAAATAGATGGGGTCATCTACACACTCCACTCATTGTGGCTGATTTTCCGTTATTCTTAGGCACTTAGGTAATTTCGTCTTTGGTCTCTCCCCTTTTCTGATTTCATTGTGTTTTCCTTGGCTCTAGTTTGTGAGTGATCTTCCTGTTTGAAGCATTTTTCTTTTCTAATTGTCCTTTTCTATCGAGCATCAGTTTATCATCCCTGTTATTGTATCGCTGAATTGGAGATGAATACATTCGTGATGCAGAGATACCTGTTATTTCCCTTGTTGCTGCTCGTATGCTTCCATAGAATATTTCCTTCCACAGAATCCTACCTTTATTTTGTCATGTATTTAAACGTTAAGGGAAATTCATTTTGCTTGATCATCAGCCTTCTAGGATTTAGTAATTTGAGCATGTATTAGCTCTGGTATCTGCTCTAGTATGCCATTTTCTTTTGATCTTATTTTCTTTGTTTTAGAATTTGTTGTTGTCATACTTTTCATATTTTATTAAGTTTTCAATGCATTTCTTCCATGTTTTTTTGTTAAGTGATATCACTTTTTTTTTTCTTTTTTCTTTTTTTTATGTAGCAGTGATGGCAACCTCCTTGGAGTCATGGATGAAAGAGTTGAATGATGCTTCAAGGTTGGCTGAGGATATCAATTCCATGATTTCGGATAAGGGTTCTTTGCCTCCATCAGGACCTGAAACCCAGCGTCATATGTCTGCTATTCGAAGGAAGATTACAATTCTTGGGACTAGATTGGATAGTTTGGAGTCTATTCTATTAAAGCTTCCAAGCAAGCAACCAATGTATGTAGATTTTTCCCGAGCTTGTGGTTCTTATTAGAAGCAGTCCTATACATTTTTATCTATATACTAGCTCTTGTTGAAACACACTCCTCCCTCTCTTTTCACCCCTTTTGGTGTAATTTGTTTGAAGTTGTAGAAGAATATAGCTTTTTCTTTTTACTTGAAATGCAATACAATGAAGATTTTGGCAAATAGTTTCATAAGATCATTTAACACATTTCTCAGAGAATAGTCAAGATTTGAATGTGTACTGGTGGTAAATTTATGTTTGGGAAAAGGACCAAAATTGTCTCTTGACTCTTTAGGAAGGACCAAAATGGTCCCCAGTTATATTGAATGATCTTTTTGGTCTCTCAAGTCCTTAAAAAGGAACTAAAATAATCCCATTGTGGGACCATTTTGGTTCCTCATTAAAGAGTTAAGGGGCCAAAATGCTCCTTTAATATAGTTGATGATCATTTTGGTCCTTCATAAAGAGTTAAGGGATCATTTTGATCCTTTTCTCATGTTACTTTACAATAATTATTTCTTTTCTTCAACTTCTCTAATATTAAACATAAATGAATAATAAGTTGAGGATTAATTACGCTGATCCTAAGTAGTTGGAGAATACTAATGATGATGATGAATCAACAATGGTATCTCACTCTTCTTCTGTTAAGCAACATGCACGCAATATCATTAATGCACCTAAACTTGAAGTTTTATTTGGTCCAATTTGATTTTTTCCCCCAATCTAGATACATTCTATTGAATTCTTCTAATATGGTTTTTGAATGAGGATTTACCATCATGATTTACATTTTGAATATAAAAATGATTTGGCATTTTATTAACCAATTGTACATCTGTAGAACGGAAAAGGAGCTGCATAAGCGCCAAGACATGCTTTCAAATTTGAGATCAAAAGCAAAGCAAATGGCATCTGCGTTAAACATGTCAAACTTTGCTACGAGGTAATATGACGATAGCTTGCTGCTGTATTTTTCATTTATCTTGCCATTTTTTTCCTTTCATGAGATCAAAAGCAAAGCAAATGTCAATGGAGAAAAAGTATTCATGTTGCCGACCCCACGTAGTGGGATAAAGGCTTGATGTTGTTGTTGTTGTTGTTGTATGGGATTTTAGAATAGTTTTTATCCATTGAAAATAATGCTAACGAGTAAAAAACTTATGTAGGGCATTAGATTTTTAATGTTTAATTTCGTGTTATCAGGGAAGAGTTACTTGGTCAAAGTAAGAAGTCTGATGAGATAAACAGAACTACAGGGTTGGATAACAATGGTATGGTTGTTCTGCAACGGCAAATTATGAAAGGTATATTTAAGGCTTCTGAGTTGTATTGCTGTGTTTCTGCGTTTGGTACTTGTTTATATACTTGTTTATTGTTTTTTTAATAAATAGAGCAAGACGAGGGCCTTGAACAGCTGGAGGAAACAGTGTTGAGCACAAAACATATTGCATTGGCAGTTAATGAAGAGCTGGATTTACAGACAAGATTAATTGTATGCGTTACTACCATTGGCATTTGAGCATTTTGATACTCTTTTTGTTGCTGTAGAATTTTTTAATGCTTTCCTTTTCAGGATGATTTAGACGAACATGTTGATGTTACAGACTCTCGGCTGCAGGTAACATCATTCTAGTTAGTCATTTCTTTCAATGTTTTCATGTTTTTCTTTATGAATTTCTTTTAAATGTGTCCTCAAGTTGGCTGTGGTGAAATTTGGCATGTCTTAATTATGCCAAGATTTTATAGTTGAGACATGAGTGAATCAGTTAATAATTTTTTTTTTATTGAATTTAGACTCTGCCTATAGTAAGAAAGGTAGAGATAGACCTAAAAAGATTTGGTTAGAAACTGTTAGAAATGACATTATTTTATTAGATTTAAGTAGATTTTGACTCTTAATAATACACGATGGAGAAAAATAATCTAAATGCATTTCTTTTCCTTATAAGTCATTAATTGTAGGCGTTTGAATCTTATTACTTCTGGCCCGTGTGATACTACATGATATCTGGATCTAAATGTAATGCAAAAAAATAAACCCTTAAATTCACTAGCATATGAATTTTTGAAACAGTTACCTAAATGGGGAAATTCATGTTATATTTATAAGTTTGAAGATAATAAAGCTGCAAGGCCCAAAGTTGCCAATGACCAAAATCAATAGGCAAGACGCTCTCCCTTTTCAATTAAGTGCTAATTTTTAATACATAACCATCATAATTATCCCAATTATTTGGAGTTGGATTTATGAATCTTATTTTATGTTTTTTTCTATTGTGTGATGTATGGAGTGTTAATAGTAGAGTAATAGGCATAAAACCTTTCTTTTAAAATTTAGAGGTTGATTTACTGAAGGTATTTAGTCAATTAATGCTTTGTAAATGTCATATACTCATATTTGAGGCTGTTTTATGGCTTTTTTGTTTGAAGTTTTTGTTAAACTGAGAGTGGCTATTTCTTGGGCATTTAAAATTGGCAATATTTATTTGGCTAACTAGTGATTTCGTTAAAATTTATGCTATAGAAATAATAATAAGAATTGTATCATATTTAATTACATTTGCAGGAACTTAGCCAATAAAATTATTAAGAAGTTTATAATAAAATTTGATGTTATAAAAGTTTTACATAATATTATATTGTATATTAACACCAGAAAACTACACAATTTGAAAATACACAACAAAGGCGTGCCGTAAAAATAAAAAATTATGATTTAGAAGAATGTGAAGAATGGTTGTGTCGCATGCTAGAATGTAAAAAGAAGTTGCTCTTAAAATTAAAAGGATTAAGCTAAACATGGTTGAAGAAAATGGAGCAACATCGCATAGTAAAACTTAATGAAGGCTTTTGGTCAGTCAAACAAGAAAATAATTAAGCAATAATAAAAAATTCTCCAATATTAAAATGATGTTTAAGTGAGTGCCACCTACGCAAATGTGCACTATGCTCTCCATGGCATCTCAGGTGACACTTAGACCCGAGTGAACTTGGGTGCTTATATTTGAGCCTGTTAATGGGTATGATAATTGATTTGTTCATTGCAAGTTTCTAAAATGTTGAAAATACTAGATCTAACATAACATTCTTGAGATTAGTATCAGCCATGAAGCCTAACCTTAAACCATAGGGAGCCTTAAGGGGTGAGGTCTTCATTTCCACAGTGCATTTTTTGTTTTGAATGTCTGATGTGGATTCCTGATTGTAGGTGTATTGATGACCACCATTTATAGCCACCAAGATGAAAATAGGATCAAAGAGAAGAGCTGAGGAGGATTAACTTAAGAGATGATGAGATAAATTAAAAAGGAGAAACATATTAAATGAATCACTTAGAATTATACTCATGAACTATCATTTCTTCAACTATATCAATTTCAATTATATATGTTTCTTGTATATGTGTATTTTTATGGTTGAGATGTTATCGAGTTTTTCTTAAGAATTGGCTAGTTGCAATAACCATAATAGAATACCTGTAAGATGCCTCAATACTTAAAATGTAATTGAAACCGCAAATAACATTTTTGTTGATTTGTCGCTTAATTCTTTCATTAACTTTTGCCTAAGACTTATAAACCTTGCATAATATTCAAAAGCGCTTGAATCATTTTATTTACAATTCTGAATTTGATTGTGCAACCCATTATGTTATTCATTAAATTGTTAGATATTTCCCTTTAATTGTATGCTTCATGTCAGCCCATGTTTTTTTTAATTTTACTTGAAGCACTTTATCAAAGCAATTGTGCACGCCCTAGTAATTTTGCTTCAACAACTACAACTTACTTTCGAATTAAATAAGTGATAATGTTAAAAAATTCTTTCAATTTATTGATTCATCCTGAAAATTTCTTTTTCTTTTCTTTTTTTTTTTCCTAAAAATTTCTTAAGATTATAACCTTTTCAATTTTAGGGCTTCAATGTTGAGTCATGTGATAGTTATATTGTTAAGTAGAATAAGAACCTACCTGATTTTATTTAAATTGCTGTATCATTAATTAATTTTTTTATTATCCTAATTAATGTCTTCTGTATATTTCACATGTTGTTGTGACTATAAACTTTGATTTCAATTTGATGTAGGATGATTCAGGGTTGTAATGCAACTTTAATATTGTGAGAAATTATGATTCATCAATCATTATCCACTAAATAATTAACAATTTACTTTCTTTAAATATAAATAGTATATGCGAGAATTATAATCCAAGCAATATTTTATTAATCGTATTTATCTAGAAATTTGAACTACGCAAAATCAGTGAGCAATTATTATTTAATCATCATAATTTGAATATTAGTTGCGTCAAATTTGAATAAAATTAGGAGCAATAACAAGCCAATAACAAGTTATGTAATATAAATTGGAGAAAGAAAATATCTTGTCTAAGTAAGAATTCCAAGCGTCATACTATCTTAAATAGATGACTTCACCCGGAGTTAATAGTTTCATTTCTATTGCACTTGAAGGAATTACACGTCTTAGTTGTTATCACAAGATTAAAAATTGGAAGAGATTTTTTTTCTCAATCAAAGATAGTAATTTACATTCCTAAGAAAACTTCCTATCTCTAGTTTGATAGACCAGCACAAACATTTGGAAATGGAAAATACACATTCTCTCAAGGCCATCATCAACTACTCAAATTACAAAATAAAATTACATAAACTAATCATTGAAAACAAATAAATTTTGCTTGATGTGATGCTTCTAACAAGAACTCAGACGTAAATTTCCATTAAGTGATGAAGTAATCAGCTTTATTTCATATCCAAACTGCTTCTAACTGCATACATTTGGTCTCCCTAAATATAAATTTAAGAAGAAAGTCTATAAATAATTTAAATCTGAGTTCAAATTTCAAACTTAAAGAATATAAACTAGCCTAATAAAATGGCCAACCAATCTTAAATAATCAAGAATTAAAACATGAAAATTGGAACCACTCCGCAAAGCAATTAAAATCATTGGCATCCCTCCCTATAGAGTGTCTGACGTCCGTTGCCATTTCAAAATTTAAACTCCTTATGCTATATAGATGGTTTTGGTGTTTTTATTCTCATCAGCTTCTAGATACTTCTGGGAAGAATCTTGAATTTCTGAGAACTTTCTAGAAGCTTCTAAAGATATTCTGCAAAATTCTTTAAAATTTTGAAAATTTCTGATTTTGAGATCCTCCTTGTTCCACACCTACTTGCTCGAACTATATACTACAAATTTATCACATTTAGGTAATATTGATTGATAATTAATGCTTGATTGATTGTCATTTTCTATGATTTATAGCTGGTTGACTTTCTTTCGCTCTCTTTGTTCTTCACCCTTATTTTTTTTATTTTTTATTTTTTTCTGTTATATACATGCAGCGTGTGCAAAAGAGGTTGGCCATCCTCAACAAGCGGACAAAAGGAGGCTGCTCATGCTTGTGCTTGTTATTATCGGTTGTCGTCATTGTCATGTTGGCTGTCGTCGCTTGGCTTCTTTTCACCCACTTGTAAGAACTTTTTGCCTTAGAAACTTACCACTTGTTGCCCTTTGCTTTGCGTGCAATCTGCCACTTGCAGGAAGTGTGTTTCCTTCATTATATCTATTATTAAGAGTTTGATCATTCTGTAAATGTGTTTATGAAAAAAATTATTATGTGATTGGTTTATTTGCAGACTCTTTCAATATACTTGTTTGTATGTTCCAATGTTTGTCTTCTGAACTATTACGCACCTTTGTGTAGCAAATCAATCTGTTTGTGAAATTCTAAGGTGATCTCTCTTATGAGATTTTAGATCTCAGATATCTAAGGGCAAGTAATTATCTAACCTGTCATCTAATTGGCTTGCTAATCCTATCTGTACTTAAGTTTTCTGCAAATCTACTAATTTTTCATGTGATAAACGACTTAATGTACATTTTGCTCATTGAAGGTTCAATAGAATCTCTCTTATGTTTTGTTTGGGACAGTTTTTTTAGTATAAAAATTAAAATTTTTTATATTAAAAAGTTGCTTTAGGAAGCAGGACGAAAGCCATCCCAAATAAAGTTTTATGTTTCATTTGGAACAATTTTTTTACTGCTTTCTAAAATAACTTTATAGTATAAAAATTTCTTAAATTAAAAATTTTTGTACTAAAAAGTCGTATTAGAAAGCAATAAGAAAGCTGTCCCAAATGAAATCTTAGTCCACTAAGTTTTCGTTTGGGATAGCTTTTTTACTGCTTCTTAAAGCAGCTTTTGTGTACAAATATTTTAATTTTTGTACATAAAAGCTACTTAAGAAGCCATCCCAAATGAAGCTTGAATTTGTAAAAGGTTTAGGTTTCATTTAGGATAGTTTTCTTTGCTTTTTAAAATAGTTTTGTAATAAAAAAAAATTATATTAAAAAATATTTTAGAAAATTAAAAGTTGTACCAAAAGAAATCTTAATACATTATTATCACTAAAACAAAATTATAAAAGCAACTTTAATGAGCATCTGCTACTAAGCTATATTCACGATAATCGGGCTCCTTACATTGTGGTGGAGCCCATCTAACCATGTAAATGAACCAGATACAGCTGACACGTGGCCAACATCCATCATTGATTTGGCGGCCCTGACCGTTACCTGAAAACTCTTTTTCTCCCCCGGTATTTTGAACCGTAGGATTTTGGGCCGGACTTTCACCGAGAAACCCAACGGGTCCACCACGCTAACCTCATATCGAGCTGGGCCTAGGCCCACATTAGTGACAACTCGCCTGGTGGTAACACCGTTACTGCTGCCGTTTGATGAGATCGTTACCGAGACCGATGGATGGTTGAGATCAGACGGTGATAATGGACTTTGCGGGCAAGGAACTGACGGGTCAATTTGCACGTTAGCACTGGCACATATAAAGAGCAGATAGTCAGCATAGGAGGCTTCATATATCAGCCCTGGCCTTGATGCATGGCTGCTCCGGAGATGGCCTGTTCCAAATGCCATGGCCTCAGCCAACCCTCCAGCATCATCCACCATGGATTCGCCTTCCGCATCGCTCGCACTTGCTGTCAAATACGTCGGATTCACACATGCATCACATACGTAAGACTCGAATGTAAAGCTTCCAACCAAGATTTCAAGATGAGCTGCGTAGAATTACCGGTTGTCATAATGGCTGATCGGATGGCAGCTGAGGTCCATAGAGGATGCGCTGATTTTAGGAGGGCAGCTGTGGCTGAGACGTGGGGGCAAGCCATGGATGTCCCGGACATGAGGTTATATTTGACAATGCGATGATCATCTTCCAATTTTGTGGGAGATGAGGCCTCGCTCCATGCGGCGAGTATGTTCAACCCTGGTGCTGTAATGTCCGGCTGTAAATAGGAGATTAAAGTATAAAAATTAAAGTTGTTGTACTAAAAAGCTGTTTTAAGAAGCAATGAAAAAGTCGTTCAAAAAGACACTTAGTCAAACTCACACATACATTATATATACAAGGCTCGAATCCAAGACCTATTGGTTGATAGTTAAAGCTCTCAACCAACAGATCAAGGTGAAATGCGTTGAAAGACTAAGGCTTCGTTTGGAACAACTTTCTTACTGCTTCTTAAAGCGGCTTTTAATTTTTGTACTAAAAAGCTGTTTTAAGAAGCAATAAAAAAGCAGTCCCAAATGAAACTTAAAGCTAAATACTTTATAAATTTTACTAATTTATACGTGAAAAGTTAAGTTCTTGATTAAGAAATAAATTTTAAAATTACTGATAACTATGTACTTACCTTAAGGAGATTGGGTTCCAATCTATTAGGCCCTCTCGACGAAAAGGCCGCCATCGCCGGCGCACCACTAATTCCGACCACCGTTCTCGACCTTCCAATCAGCACCGTCGGTTTCACATCAGAGTCGATGTACTTGAGGATCTGAATCGCGTGCCGCGAGGAAACCGCCGACGCCGGAAGCACGTGAGCGTCCACCGGAATCTCGTCGCCGTTGGCCTCGCCGTTGCCGAGAATCATCGCCGCCCCGCCGGCTCTCTTCACCTCCATTCCCTTTGCCACCCTCAATCCGGCACCTCTCAGGCACAGCACAGCCTTCCCCTTTACTTTCTCTGTCGAGAGAGAATTCGGCAGGCATTGTCTGTTCAGAAAAATATTGCTTAAGATATTCCGATTAAATATTTTTTCATAATAAATTCTTATAATTATTAAATTTATTTTAATTAATAATAAGTGCTACTAATAAAAAAAATTAAGATTTATTGTGATTAAAAATGAACTATTTTTTTCTTTTTATTATGAAGAAAAATTAGATTAATTTATTTTGATATGCATCTAATTTATAGATAATTAATTAATTTTTATATAGCACTATTTTAAATAAATATAAAAAATTTCTTCCCTTATTTATAAAAATTGTTGTAGAATTATTACAACCTAAATAGTGGACTCGAACCTGATCAAATAACTCATTTTAATTTTTTTTTAAATTTTCATAAATTATGAATTATAGAGTTTAGAGAAATTGATAAAACAAATCACGCCAACAAATAAAAAAAAATTTATAGGAAAATTTAAATAGGTCATTTTCATGTTAAAATCAGGTCGCGGGTAAACCATAATAGAATTCTGGGCCCGAACCTAACTAAATATTTTAGATCATGTTAATCATTGGCACCCCTAGACCAAATTAAGTGTATTATAATTTTTTTCTTTAATTTCCAAAAACTCAAATAATAGTCTTTTATAATATCATACTACAATAAATTTTATGAAAATTTTATTTTATTTATAAAATTTGTATAAAAATAGAAGTCAAATAGAGGTGTGATGTCCATTTCTAATATTTAAAAAAATATTATTATTTTTTTATTTTATTGATAAGCTTAATTAACGAAGTTGTAAATAAGTACCCAGAGGCGTTTAATGGCGTATTAGGAACCTCAGCGTCTCCAGCGTAAACTAATGAATACGGCTTCCTTCTCTTTTGATTGTACGGCGTTACGGTTTGACCCTTAAAAAAAGAAAAATTAGAAAAACCAACTTCAAAATTGCAAGTCGTAATTAATTAATTAACTAATTACCATAATGGCCACTCCACTCCCGAGCACAACCGGCGCGTCGAACTCCCGGTCAATACTGCTCGCCGCCACCGTAATCACCCACGGCGCCAAATTCACCACCGTCGCCGCCGCCGGACCGGAATTTCCAGCGCTACAAACTGCCACCACCCCTCTCTTCACCGCGTGCAGCGTTCCTAACGCAATGGCGTCCACCGCATAGTCCGGCGGCTTTCCGTTGGCTCCTATGGAGATGCTGAGAATGTCGACGCCGTCCGCGACGGCGTCGTCGATGGCGGCGAGATAAATATAATAAATTTTTTTTAATATAAAATATTAAATATAATTCTTATTCATTTAAAAATTATATTAAATTTTTAATTAGAATCACTTGACTTGCTTTTTATTCATTGTTAATAATATTATATTTAACTTAAATAAATCATCATTAATGTTTTAATTAAAATATTCTGATAATTTTTTTTTTTCACAAATCTAAAGTTATATGAATGTGTTCCAATTATGAGGTCTTAGAATTTAATTAATTTTCTTAAAAATTTTATTGTTTATATATAACTAATACTATTTTTTTTAGAAAATAAAATTATTATTTTTCTTTTAATCTGATTCTTTTGTATGCCATTATTGAATATATAATAATAACCATAAGGAAATATAAAGTAACATACCTTATTTGAACATTTTATCAAACTATTTATTAAATGATAAAAATAGAAACAATTAAATACTCAAATTTATTCATTTATATGATAAATTTAAAAAATATTATTTTCAACAATATTTATCTATTTAAGTAAAAAAGTATAAAAAAAAAGTAAAAAAGTATAAATGAAAGTTACATAAAGTGTATCAAGTCATTCGGGCAAAATTGGGATGGCTTTCTTAATGCTTCTTAAAATAGTTTTTTAAGTAAAAAATTAATTAATCAGCTATTTTAGAACCAATCTCTTTGTAAAGGCTCAAACTCTTAATTATCGAGATATTGTCCGCTTTAGGCTAAGAGCTTCACGGATTTGACCTGTTAGTGTAACTTCTCAGTAGGTCATGCATCCATCCCAGAATTGCTCTATGATGAGCACGCTTAAATGCAAAATTTCTTATGAAAATTCTAGCCATTACACTAAAAAAACACCTTGATTTTTAAGGGTTAGCAGCCTTCTTTTAGTTAAGGGTTTTCCCTCCCTCCCTCTCTTTAGATTTCAAATTTGAAGTGTTGAAGGAAATTATTTAGCGAGCAAGGAGCAAGTTCACGAGATTCTTATCATCAGAGATCCCTTATCTGCATCTGAAGAAGAAGCCAAATCACTTTGTCCTCAAGGACAGTATGTTTTTGTTGCCATTCTAAGCTCGAAGAGGACAACGATGGGTTAAAGTATTTATATTACTCAAGTCTTCCAGACAATATTAGTCTTCTTGTTCATTTGGCTCTTAATTACAACGCTTATTTTCATAAACAAATCAAATCAACAAAACGGAAGATAAAGTTTTATATATATAAGCTCCGAAGAGAAAAACAAGTTGTCTTTCTTGTTTTAACTTCGAAAGTAATTAGAGTTAAGCAAGCTCTAATTAAAGATTACGATCTAGATTTATTTTATTATAGTTTAAAGATAGAAATTATATTAATTAAAAGAGCAGCAGAAAATATCGATCTCACCTGTTGCAGTTTGAGGAATTGAAAGCTTCTCCTTCTTCACAAACTCCCTTCCAACGCTTGCTTACAGGTCCCATTCCTTCGTCGCTGAAGCTCTTCGATTCTGGCCATATACCTGCATGTACAAATTTCATTGTATTAACATTGAATAAAAGAAAGGATTAAATTGATTAATAATTAATGACCAGAATCCAGCATTCCAATAATAATATCATCCCCATAGCTTGCGTTCTCTGCAATGAAATCCTTGTTATAACCATTGATCAAGCCCTCTAAGGTCTCTATGAAATCCCAAGATCTAGTTGTATGAAGAGATGATTTCCCCTCACTTGGGAACACTGAAACCACCCCCTCCATCTCTGTATAAAAATGAAAGAAGATTAAGTCCGCATAATATTCTGATTAAATGATCTTGATCAGAACAAGGTTAAATTTTGCTTTAAAAAGTGTTCAATATATAAATTTTTGATGCGCAGAAGATAGAACAGAAAAAAATCAGTCAAATATTCATTCAGCTCAAAGTTTTACCTGATATCTTAGCCGCCTCATGCTGTGAAAGAGTTGCTGCGAAGCCATTTATGCTGTTCTTATAGCTATAAAGAAGAGATTCTCTTGCAGATTCATCACTGATATGACATAAACAAGACTTAATGAAAGCAAGAAGAAGAAGAAGAAAAGAAGAAATTTTTGTGGAAATTCATGACGCAAACCTTTCTTTGATTGAGAGAAGGAGAGAGTGGTGATGGTTCTGAATTTGCTCGGCTGTTAATCTTCCACTGTGATCGCCTAAGTACACTATGAAAACCTGTGGATTTGAAGGATATATTAAGTGAGGTAATTTCTGATTAGCTTAATTTAATCTTTTAATAGGCAAAAAAACAGCACTGCTTGATTGAGCAGACCTTGGAATGTTGATTGCTAGAGGAAGCAGGATAGAAGAACAAAAGAACGAGGGGAAGAAGAAGATAAGATTTTCTAAACATTTCCTACTCGATTTTTCTTTTCTATAATTAGCTCACATGTTAATCAATCTGTCTGTTTTTATAGACAGAGAGGTCTTGGAGAAATTCGTAGAACCGAGGGGGTTAAAAGTAAATTTGGTTTTTTCCATTTTTAAAAAAATAGTAAATTAATTTCGTAAAATAAAATTGAGACATTAGGGGTTTAAATATTCCTAATAGAGTTTGAGCCCCTTCTAATTTGAACTTAAACTTAATTGATTCTTCAAAAGCCATTTTTATTTTATTAAAAAGAGCAAAAATTAACAACAATGACAACAACAACATCAAGTCTTAAGAATGGTTTTAAGGTTACACTATGTAGGGTCTGCCTTTTTCTGTAAAAGGTTCATGTGAAAAATGATTCAAGTCATGATTATTCGACAAATTTTATGCCAGCTGTCGACTATCTAACACAAACCTTCAATTTTTTCATCCAGGACTTGGGGCCTGACAACAACAGCGTTAAATTAAGATGATAATATAAACAATAGTGACAAAAATAATTAAAAATGAGATATTTGAGGATAAATAATGAGAGATTAGATGACAAAATGAAGATCATTAAGATTATATATATTTATTTTTTTAATTACTTTTTTGTTAAATTATAGAATCTAAATATAAGGATAAGATCCCTAAATTAAATAAATTCTAGGAAAGAACTTATAAAAAAGTTATATTTGTATATTTTTATTATAATTATTTTTTATTCTTAGAATTGAATTTGTGTTATTTATTGATTTTTTTCTTATTGCAAAATTTAAAAAAAAAAAAAAACTTCTATAACTTTTATATTAGTTTTTTGGTATAAACTTATTTATTGAAATGAATGAAAATTGATAGAAGTAATCCCATGTTTTGAAAAACAAATTATATAATTTAATTATTAGTAATATTAAAAATATCATTAAATATTTTTTATCATATCCTAAAGCAAAGGATAATACTTCAATTAACATCAAGTAACTGACTTTTGGCATAATCATCTGAGTGAGACCCACTAATTATGATTGACCAAATTTTTTTAAGCAAAAATTTTCAATATTTTTTTTCACTCTATCTTTTATATTAAATAAAATTTAATCTTAAATTCATACACATTTTTTTTACTTTTTTTACATAAAATTAAAAATTTTATTTATTTATTTGAAAGTAGAAAGGCACTGGAGCATGCGCGATTGTGAAGAGGATGTGATGGATATTTGAAGGTTTGATTTGGATGTTATGGCATGCATGCATGGCATGCAAGTTGATATGGTCCATACATCAACTAGTCAACTCATCCCTATCAAATGAATGCATGGGAGAAGAAGGAGAAACTAATTAGTTTAATTACTATGATTTTTCTAATTATAATTTAAGTGGTTATGAAATTTAAGAAAATAATTATTCATTTTATTTATGTTTTAATTAAAAATAAAATATTTTTATTTAGTTTCCCATAAGTGCATGTTATTATTATTTTTATTGAATTTTTATAAGGTAATAGTGATGATATTGATGTGTGGTTGGCCAAGGAGGGCAGTGATAAGGTGGTTTTTATTTAAAGAATAAAAGTATAAAAATTTTATTTTGCGTGTTTTTAAATGCACATTGATTTATTTAATATAATAAGAATAAATATAACCAAAAATGCAAATCAAACATTTTTTAAATAAAAAAATAAAAAGATCTCAAATAAAGTATTAATAATTTGGTTGAGAAGGTTAGTGTTCACCAGGGGCGGATCCAGCTTCTTTTTTTAGAGTGAGCAAAAAAAAATTTTTTTGTGGGGGATGGGCAAAAATGCTTAGGATTGATTAAATGAGGGCAAAAAAATTTTTTGAGAGGGGGCAAAATACCCAAAATACTCAAAATATTTCAAAATATCTCACTAAAATTAAAAAAAAAAAAATTTGAGGGGGGGCATTTGCCCCCCCTCAACTACATGGGGATCCGCCCATGGTGTTCGCTCAAGAAAAATGACACAAGCTAGCCCTCCCTTGTGACCTAGGATTTCATTTTTCATGAGGGAGATTAAATTTTAATTTACCAAAATTTTCCTCATAATTATGTTAAGTATTAGTTAAATTTGAGATTGAATATTCTTATGATTGTAAACCCTCATAGTTAATTACTCATTCCATCATGGTATAACACTCTCGGCTAAGGTTACTTATTTTGACACAATTTTAATTTTAAACTTAATTATTTCATATATGTTTAAGTTGTCATAACCCATCTCGATATGACTTGATATCATATAGTTCATATTGTGTCCGATTACGAAAAGATTAACCCCAAGATCCGGTTGGAGAAGCACTGAAAGAAAACTACCAATTTTTAAACTAGATAGAGCCACTACTAAGTGCAATATAAAGCGAAAGACTTCTGAATTTCAAAATAATTTTTTATATATCATCCAAAACAAATGAACTAAAAATTTAATTAAATCATATACTGATATCGAATACAATTAAATAAATATTAAAATTAACTGAATTATAAATGAACACTTCGTAATGATTATAAGAATATATAACTCTTAAGCCTAAGTTTTCATATATCATTGCTATCAGAATCCCACCTCGACACCCACTGGCACTACCATAACAAAATATCACATCGGTCGTCACCCACTAATACTGGCATCAAAACATTTCGGTAACAAAATCCCATCTCAGTCGCCCATTGGCTCCGGCACACAACATTTCGGTAACAAATTAAAATACCACCTAGATTACCTACTAGTGTCAGCATAACAACACATCAAATCATAATACATCACAATACACCACATCATAATACATCATAATACACCATATCATAATACAATATTTCTTTCACATTTTTATTGCATTTCATTAATTAAAGTACAAATGGATTGAATTCAAAAATTTTCAAAATACCTTAATGATAGGCAACAAACATATACTACTGCACAAAAATGCATAATTTTCAAACAAAATCAAATCACTAGAGATCGTATAAAACATCATTAAGAGACTTACCATTACTTTAATGAATTTTCATTAAACTAAACCACTCATGCGACATTCACAATAATTGGACTCCTTACATAATGGATCCCATCATACCACGTAAATGAACCCGAAACAAATGGCACTTTTCTGATACCTGCAACTGTTGATTTGGCACTGATTGTGATTTGAAACTTCTTCTTCTCTCCTTGCATTTTGAACTGTAAGATCTTCGGCTGGACTTTCACTGAGAAACCTAATGGCTCTACAATGCTAACCTCATATCGGGCGGGTTTTTGGCCCACGTTGGTGACGACCCGATTGATTGCAATGGTACTGCTACCATTTGAGGGGACTGTTACTGCTACTGATGGATGATTCAGATCAGATGACGATGATGGTCTTTTTGGGCAGGGAAATGATGGGTCAATTTCCTTGTTGGTGCTAGCACACATAAAGAGCAGATAGTCAGCATATGTGGCATCATAGATCAAGCCCGGGTTTACTGCATGGTTGGGTCGAAGATGGCCCGACCCAACCGCCATGGGCCCAGCCATCCCCCCAGCTTCATCAACCATAGGTTCTCCATGGACATTATTCACAGTTGCTGTGATAAAATGGTCATGTCAGAGAAACAGAAGAACAGAAATTAATTTTAATGGCTAGCTAGCTTGGCTAATTAAATAATACCCGTGGTGATAATGGCAGATCTGATGGCAGCGGAGGTCCATTGAGGATGAACTGACTTGAGGAGGGCGGCAGTAGCTGAGGCATGGGGGCAAGCCATGGATGTTCCAGAGTAGAGGTTATATTTGACGATGCGATGATCATCATCAAACTTTGTGGGAGAAGATACCTCGCTCCATGCAGCAAGTATGAGCAACCCTGGTGCTGTAATGTCCGGCTACATCAAATTTTAATTGATTGTTAATAAGGGAAATAAATATTCAAATTAATTAAATGATATTGTATATATAGTTATGTTTGTAGTCTCAATTGAAATGTTAGAATATATTAAAATAGTTATGTTTATCGTCTCATTATCATTGGAGCCAAGAGGAACTGTAAGATCAAAATTAAGAATGCAAATAACATGACTCTTAGAACTTAGAAGACATAAATATCTATGACGTATGGTCTCTGTGACACTGGCGCTGACGTTGTTTCTTTATTTTAGCTTATGTGCTCTGTTTGTATTTTTTTAGTTTGGGATGTATAGCTTTGTGTAGCCGTATAGCCTCCTCTGTTTTGTGACTCACATTCATGCAAGAATTTTATTATTCTATTTCTTTGTTATTTTTTTGTATCATGAATTCATTTTATGGTGGTGGTTTTTGGTGGTTTCTCTCTATTCTTGTGAGTGGTATCATTTGCTCTTTGATTTTTCCGTGAGGAATTGGCTTCCGTGGCGAATCATCTTCGGGTGGCGAATGGCACCACTCCGTTTGGGGGTGAGAGAAGAGCGAAAGGGAAAATCAAAGTCTTGCTTGAGGTCGTCACAAGAAAGGAGCAAAAGAAAAAACGAATCATTGATGCTTTCAATGTAATATACCTTAAGGATATTAGGTTCCACAGAATTAGGTCCTCTCGAGGAAAAAGGAGCCAAGGCAGGCGCACCAGTAACTCCGACCACAGTTCTTGATCTCCCAAGCACCACCGTCGGATTCCGATCAGACGAAATGTACTTTCGTATTTGAAGCGCTTGTCGCCTCGAAACTGCCGACGCCGGAAGCACGTAAGCTACCAACGGAAAGCTGTTATCTTTGGCCTCGCCATTGCCGATTATCATGGCTGCGCCGCCAGCTCTCTTCACCTCCGCACCCTTCGCCACCCAGTACCCGGTGCCGGTTAAGCACAGCACCACCTTCCCCTCCACTTTCTCCCTCGCAAGAGAATTCGGAAGGCATTGCCTGTTCATGAAAATTGATCTATTGGTGAGCTAATTCCATGATATTCATTAAAGAGGGAGGAGAAAATATGTACCCTGCGTAAACTAAAGGGTAGGCCTTCCTCATCTTCTCGTTGTACTGTGATATGCTTTGACCCTGAATGTGTAAGGTTGACCAAGAAAATTAATTTATGAAGATAAATAAAAAAAATTATATCAAAGTTTAATAATAACAAAATTATAAAAATGTAATATTTAAAAAAATAATTTATATTATACACATATTAAAATAATTTATAATTAAAAAGGACTGAAGCGATCCTAATTTTTTTTTAAATGAAAAGTATAGTCTCTCAATATTTAAAAGTTTTAATTTGTTTCCTTCATTTCTTAATTATGAATCAAATTAGTATGTCTATAAGATAGTTTAAGATGTTATGTGAGTCATTTATAAAAAATTTTTAATTGAAATTTTTTTACTAAAAAATTGTTTTGAAAAATAATAATAAAACTATTACAAACAAGGTGTTTTTTAAATCAGGAATAGAACAAAATATTAAAAAAATTTAAAAATAAATAAACTAGTCAAATCAGTTGCCATATTCTAAAGAATGTACCAGTTTGTTTGATTCAGAACTAGTCAAATTATTTGGCGCGTTCACCCCAATTAGCCGAAGTAAAGTATGAAATTACTGTAGCAATGCGCCAAATTTGACACATTCAGTGGAATGCGTCATTCTGTTTTGCTCATTTGCTTCTTTTTTAAAAAAATTTAAATATTTTATTTTTTCTTCCTAATTTAAATTATACATCATGCTCCTATTATAATATTCCGTCTCAATTTGAAAATAGTGGCAAAATATATCAAAAATGAAATCTTTTTAAATAATCGGAAATTATTATGATTCTTTGAAAAAAAATAAAAGGAATATTTTAGCTCTTATGTAATTTTAAATTATAAAAATATATATATTTTTTAAAGATTAAGAATTAATTATAAAAAATAAAATTATATTTTAAAGAGTAAGAGTTAATTAAAAATAAATTACCATAATAACAGCTCCATTCCCAAGCACAACCGGCGCGTCGAACTCCCGATCGATACTGCTGGCCGCAACCGTTATCACCCACGGCGCCAAATTCACCACCGTCGCCGCCTCCGGACCGGAATTTCCGGCGCTACAAATAGCCACCACCCCTCTCTTCAACGCGTGCAGCGTTCCTAACGCAATGGGGTCCGCCGCATACCTCGGCGGCTTTCCGGTGGCTCCTATGGAGATGCTGAGGATGTCGACGCCGTCAGCGACGGCATCATCGATGGCGGCGAGCATGTCCGCGTCAAAGCAGGTGTTTTGAAGGTTGGGATTGGGGCCGGGAATGGGCCAGCAAACTTTGTAGATGGCGAGGCGGGCAAGAGAAGCTCCGCCGTGAGCGGTGCCACCGGCGAAGCTGCCAAGGAAGGAGGCGGAGACGGGGCGGCCCGCGGCGATGGACGATGTGTGAGTTCCGTGGCCGTCGTGGTCGCGAGGAGAGCGGTAGGCGTAGGAGACGTTGAGTTCGCCGTAGTAGGATTCGTAGCCTTTAAGGTAGTATCGCGCGCCGATTATCTTTCTGCTTCATTTTTTATTATGGAAGAAAATTGACAAAAAATTATTTTAAAGGTAGTCTGTAATGTTTTAAAATAAAAATTAAAAGAGCAGCTATGAAAGATCTCACCTGTTGCAGTTTGAGGAATTGAAAGCTTCTCCTTCTTCACAAACTCCCTTCCATCGCTTGCATACAGGTCCCATTCCTTCGTCGCTGAAGCTCTTCGATTCTGGCCATATACCTGCATGTACATTTTTCATCACATTAGCATCTCTCTCTCTCTCTCTCTCTTAGGAACAATTATTACGTCCTCCGACCGGACGTTGAGTAACGTCCAGTCGGAGGTAAATTCCAGCCAAAAAATAAGTTGTACCGAGCAAATACCGAGCAATACCAAACAATAACGAATAATATCATCATTTGAAGACCCAATACCGAGTTATACCAAAGTTGTACCGAGTTTTCTTAGAAAAACTCGGTAAGAAAACTCGGTACAACTCGGTATTTCTCGTACAGCTCGGTATAACTCGTATTGGTTCTTCAGAGAACGGTATTCCTCATTATTATCAATAATACCTAGTTGTACCGAGAAAATACCTAATTTTTGACGGAAAATTGCTTCCGACCGCGACGTTCCTCTACGTCCTTGCACCGGACGTAATAAAAGTTCCTCTCTTAAGGGCTGTTTGGCAACCAAGTGGATTTAACTTTAGTGGGATTTAGTAAATCCTATAAATTCAGATTTGTAAATCCGATGTTTTTAAATCATGAAAACTGTTTGGTATGTCAAATGTTAATTTTGTTAAATCATTATAAACTGTTGGTACAATTTCAATATTATGACAGTTATGATTTAATGTGGAAGAATATAATTACTTAAATTAAAAAAATAAATTTCATAATTAAAAATAAAAAATAAGTGTGTATATAATTTTATATATATTAAGTACCACAATTATTCATTAATTATATTTACACAATTATTTAAAATATTTAATATACATACACATTAGTATATTAATAAAGCTAATTCTTATTTATATTTAATTACTAATTGTACATTACAGTTTATTACATATAAATTTATCACTAATTATTACAATTAATTATTAAATTATTTTACTTATTTATTAATCTTTTTAAAATATATTAGTTAAGTTAATCAATAATAACTTAGAGGCGTCTAGGTTTGCCTTTCATCTTCTTTTTTAGTCGTTGCTGTTAGGCTTCTTGCTTCGCAGGAGGTGTAGAGACTGCATGCGTCGCTTCTTCGTTTCCTTCGTGGCTGTTCAACTTCGCTCCTTCGACGTCTTTCCCTTCCTGTCGGATCGGAAATTTCGACATTTTGATCGGAAGCAAGAACGGGACCTCGCTGGCTGTGAAGGTAACTTTCTCCCTTTCGCGCGCTTCTTCGGCTAAATCCCGTTAAATCCGCCGAACAGAGGGATTTAGTAAATCCGGGATTTAAGCCGTAAATCCCTAAATCCAGGATTTACGGAATCCCGGGATTTAATGAGCGCACAAAAACCGTTTGGCTGGATTTAGCGTAAATCCGACTTAAATCCGGGAATAAATCCGATACCAAACAGCCTCTTAAGGAAAGGATTAAATTGATTAATAATTAATTACCAGAATAAAGCATTCCAATAATAATATCGGCCCCATAGCTTGCGTTCTGTGCAATGAAATCTTTGTCATGACCATTGAAGCCCTCTAAGGTCTCCATGAAATCCCAAGATCTAGTTGTATGAAGAGATGATTTCCCCTCGCTTGGGAACACTGAAACCACCCCCTCCATCTCTGTATAAATGAAAGAAGATTAAGTCTGAATAATATTCTGATTAAATCTTGATCAGAACAAGATTAAATTTTGCTTTAAAAAGTGTTCAATCTATAAATTTTTGATGCGCAGAACAAAAAATCAGTCAAATATTCATTCAGCTCAGAGTTTTACCTGATATCTTAGCCGCCTCCTGCTCTGAAAGAGTTGCTGCGAAGCCATTTATGCTGTTCTTATAGCTATAAAGAAGAGATTGTCTTGCAGATTCATCACTGATATGATATAGATGAAAATGAGATTTAATGACAGCAAGAAGAACAAGAAGAAGAAAAGAAGAAATTTTCGTGGAAATTCATGACGCAAACCTTTCTTTGATTGAGAGAAGGAACGAGTGGTGATGGTTCTGAATTTGCTCGGCTGTTGATTTTCCACTGTGCTCGCCTAAGTACACTATGAAAACCTGTGGTTTTGAAGGATTAAGAAAATTTTCTTTACGGATTCTTTAATTAGATAAAAAACAGAGCTTGATTGATCAAACCTTGGACTGTTGATCGTTACAGAAAGCAGAATGGAGAAGGGAGAGCATAAGAAAGAGAGGAAGAAGAATTAGAAGATAATGTTTTCTCATAATCTTCTTCATTTACCCCCTTTTTTCCCTTAATGCTTGGCTAATACGTTATTCATTGATCAACATATCTGCTTTTGTAGACACAGAGGTCTATAAACTTTTTTTTTTTCTTAATAACATCCCAAATTCAAGAATATTACGGCAACTAACATCAGATTAACAACTCACTGCTTCCTTAAACATATCGCCAATTGGCTCTTTTTGTTGCAAGATTTGAGAGATTATTCTGTGCGGATACCTGACACAACTTACCTTCCAGAGGAGAATCAGGTGCAGCCACGTCATTCAGTACCGAGCAGCATCGAGCTCGGTACCAAGTAGGGGATGACGTGGCGCATTTTTATTAGGCTATTGACGACATTCGGTGTCCGCACAGAATAATTCACCGCAAGATTGTGGATTGATTAATGTATTGAATTAGCTAAGCTGGCTTTATAATTAACCAGGAAGAGAACAAGAAGAGACCTCTTCTTGTCCAAGTAATTTACATAAAATTAACCGCAGTTTTGTTATGAGTTATAGGATAAAAATCAAAAGTGTTGACTTTTGGTTAAAATGATTATATTATTGTATTTTATAGATTATAAATGCTGCCTTCTTAGACGTAGTAAAAGAGTTGATATAATGTAGTAGTCAAAATTTATGGATGATGACTATGATGATGGAAGTTGTCAAGTTGAAGAAGACATGAAGAAATTTCTTGAGATTGTTGGTAGTTTATTTGATCAATTCTTCTTAGAGTTGTTAGGAAAATAAGAGGCCAAGAAATCTAGTATTAGTCTTGATATGGGCTTTGAGCACAAGGGTTGATGACAATGGTGAGAATCAATTTTATTGTTGTCAATGGTGGTGGTCGGCTGTATTGGTCATGAAATATCAGCATTGGTATCGATGATGCGCATGAACTTTATTGTTGATGACAAGTGATGAAGTCAAACATTGATGGTTGCGCGAGAGTTGTTCCATGACGGTAGTAGAGCGACAATGATCATGTAAAATAATTGGGTCACCTTAGCCTAGATAAATAATTGAACAACTATAATCAAGTGACGGTTGGTTAGCGGGAATAACCATAGATGTCAATTGTTTGGCAAAGCTCTCAAGATCCAAGCCTACTTATTTCCAAGCTCCAAGCCCCACCTCACAATAGGAATAAATCAAAACACTTATTTACATTATTCATATTAATCTTCTTGATCGTAATCTATTCTTTAATATTTGAGTGCTTTAATGATAATAATATTAAAATTAAATGATCTTCAACTTCATTGAATTCTTCTCTTCAAGAAGGCCCTCATTTTATTTATAAGCACACAAAATTTAAAATATTTAATTCCTCAAATAGTAAATCAAATATTTGAAATATAGTTAGAAGCTTTATCTAGTCATGACAAATTGTAAATAACTACAAGTCAAAATTCAATATAAATTATTCGCCTTCTTCAATCTATAATAAAAATACATTGACGCACACATTTACGATCTCATTTGAGACAACTTTCTTGCTACTTTCTGAAATAATTTTTTTAGCAGAAAATTTTTTATTTTAAAAAATTTTTGTATTAAAAAATTACTTTATAAAATAATAAGACAGTCGTCCCAATTGAAGCCAAAAGCTTGTGTCTTAACACCTACATGAAGGGCAGAAATAAACATTAAAAAAAGGCAAAAGAAGCAAATGAATATTTAGATATTATAGTTAGAAAACGTGATTTTACAATAAAACCCATTGACTTAAAAATAATGTTTTGCATAACTTCCCTACAATGAAAATAAAAAAAAAGGAGTAGCTTCCATTAATATAAAAAGATAGAAAATACAGCAACAACAACACTTACTCATATAATGTTATCAAAGAGACACTGTTTAACATTATGAAGAAGAGATGAGATATACAACATATTATCAAACACCTAAGAAAATACCATTCCTACAAAGGCCCTTCTCTTGCAAAACAAGCTTCTTTCATAATCAAATGGGGCATATCAGCTTGCAATGAATTTCTTCCTACCAGAATAAGCTTTATCTCATTCTATCAGCATTCAGGAAGAGTTGGCTGGAGTTGATAAAAGCATTTTGGTCGCAGGACTCTGCCAAATCCTTCAAAAACAACACAACATCCTCTGAGGTGTTGAGAAAATACCTTGCACTCGATCGCTTTCGTCCGACGGCGCAGGAGAAGTAGTTGTCTCCTTTGAGATCGAGCACCGACGATCCTTCGTGCCAGGACGACGAGACATCATGAGATGATCTTGAAGGGCTGAGATTGTTATTATGATTGGATGATGTTGTTGACGACGAAGATGATGAAGAAGATGATGAGGAGGAAACCTTCCTTTCCAATGATAATGAAGCCTTTTGGTTCTTTCCATGTGATGCTTTCATTGTGTTTTTTATGTTGGAGGGCTTCCCTGTATTCCTCTTATCAGCAGATGCCTTGAAAATTTCTGCTGTCTTTGTTCTGGAACAAGCTGGGGGATCAGAAGGGAGCTCTGGTTCAAAGAATGTGTAGATATCCTCATCCTGACAAATAGTAATCAAGCGTTCCAAATTATTCAAATACCAAACAAAGCTAATATTACTTGTATGTAGTCATGTTTTTTTACAGATGATAATTGTAAAAATCTGGTGCAACAATTGTTTCCAATCATTCGATAATCTTCTTCCAAAACAAGAAAGATGACAGACAAAGTGCTAATGGGAACATACAGAGAAACCAACACTAAAGATATTTTGTTTTTTAATAATTTGTAAGAAAAATAGAATGGAAGCAGATTCTAGCTTCATAAAACAACTTGTTCCAAGTTAGCTCTTACTTTTCAACACTACTAATTGTCATCATCTTTTGAAAGCCCAAATGAAAATCATTGCCCGATTTCATCTTGATGTGACAAATTTACAATAAGAAAATAGCGTGAAATAATAAAAGTAAACTTAATAAAATGCAAAAAGTTGGAATACATTGTATGTATATGAGTATTGAGGAGAATGTTAAGTCATTAATCTGTAACTTGGGACTGGTAAAAATTAAAAAAAAGTTAATATGGACGTGTGAAAATGCTAGAAAGAATTGATTCAAATATTATTATACTAGAAAGATTGTTCAAATAACATCTAATGAAAATTAGAACAACAACAACAACAAAATCAAGCCTTTGTCCCACTATGTGGGGTCGGCTACATGAATCCTTTTTTTTCCGTGGTGTCCTGTTAAAAGTCAAATTCTCGTTTAAATCTAATAAAGAAATATCATTTCTAATATTTTCTGATGAAATCTTTTTAGATCTACCTCTACCTTTCTCAACATAACTCAAATCTAATACCTCTACTTTCCAAATCGGGTCATCAGAAGGCCGCAAATTTATGTGAACAAATCATCTAAGGCGACTCTCTCTAATCTTATCTTCCACTGGCGCTACTCCAACCTTTTCACGTATATGCTCATTTCATATCCTATCTCTAAGGGTAAAGTCACTCATCCACATGAGATAGTGATTTGGGCATGGACAATGAATGGTAGAGATGCACCAAAAAGATGATAAATAAAATTAATATAGAAAGAAGAATAAGAATTTGACTAAAAAAATATGGATAATATTTGTGCAAAAATATATCAAAAAACAGATTTTAACACCTCATGCAACACTCAATAAGACGAATAAAAAAATAGGATTTGATAACTATAATGATGATTATGATGACCAAACTCAAGCTTGCTTTCTTTTCACCAATTTCATGATTTTCCCATTTATAAAATTAGTTCTCATATATTGGTTTCTAATAATCTACATAAAAAAACACAAGATAAAATGATTCAAAACAACTATGCAACAAATAAATAGCATAAGAACAGGTAAGCTTGGCTATTCAAGTGGTCAAGTAAAACCAACCTTTCCAAGGAAGTGACCGATACATAAAACGTAATCTATAGGTGTAACCATGTTCTTGCTATGAACAATTTCTCCCAAAATCCGATCTATTGCAGCACCCTGCATGTATTAAACATATTAAAAATTCAGTAAATTCCATAAAGATGAATTTGATGAAAACAACTATAAAACAAGATATGATGTTAGGTGTTTGGAACACTTTTTTTAATCGAAGCCACCAACAATAGTCCTTGAAGCATAGGATGAACTATAATGAAATACTAGAGGAAGAGAAAACATAAAAAATATGAACAATGCAAGAACTTGAAATTTGAGATTATTTTATCAACTTCCAAACATATAAAATCAAGGAATAAAAATTATGATATCATAGAATTAATGTGCCAATCTTCCCATGAAATATGCAATGTACAACCTATAACATGGAAGTTTAATTTCAGCATCTAAGTTGGTTTCAAACAGATTAATTTGCCTACCTTCGTCACTCCCACCGAACGAACCTCGACTGACCGGCTACCTTGGACAACATCAACAGCTGCATTAGAAATTGGACCAGTCCATAGATGCTGTAGCATATCCCTTGCTTGGAGCCTTCCAAAATCAACATCTTCATAAATAGTGAAAACAAAGAAAGAAGGTAGCATTAGCATGGAAGGTGCAAAGTTGTAGGACAAAAGATGACATTGATTGCTTGAGAACTACCTGCATACTTGTAGTTCCAGACGAGTGATGTCTCCCGATGTTCAAAATGCGACCTGGGCGTTCTTTCCGTGAAATACTCAAAAACATGCTGGAAAATCCAATGAAATTGAAAACAATAATCACTAAGCACTAAATGTTAACCAGGAATGCATTAAATATCATAAAACTTAAAGCACCTTTACACTGTCAACCCAATCCATATTTAGATGCTCTGGCATGGTGGTCATCCAGTCACCACCAGTAAGACGCAAGAACATCCCATTTTCTGCTGCCAGCCACATGTTATACTCCCCAAAATTCTGGAGTAAAGAAGAATGTATAAGGGAGGGAAAATATCTAATGCAACAGAAAGTTCAATTAATGACAGAGTTGTACATCATCCAGGACACTTCTGTCACTTCCACTAAGGACAATAATGGTAGTCTTTGGATCACTGCACAATGTCGCCAAGGGGCCTTTCAGCTCTGGGTGTAACTTAAGCTCCATTTCTTTAATTTGATCTCCACCTCTCCTTCCATAAGACTCAACTGGTTCTGTTAGTGTTGAATTGAAACCCTGCGGTTTTGAACAAGTGCTTTGCTTAAGCATATAAAAAAATGGTATTAACAAAATCGAACAGGAATACAAGCTCAACCAAAGGGCATCAAATTCAAACTGTTATAACATGCAATAGAGTAGCTGGTTCAGTTTTAAAAAATACATATTAACATGAAGCCATTCTGATGATTATAATAAGTATTCACACATGATCAGAATAATAAAATAAACATTGCATGCAGAATTTTATGTTCTTTAATGAAATCTAAAGTTGGAGTATACAATTAGACAATACCAGTATCAAAAGTCGATTCTTGGACCGTAAATATTGATGAATTGCCAAATCAGAATCCAGCACTGGTGGGACCTGTCTTGTTCTTAGCTGAGCTTCAACAACAGTATCATTAAGTTCACTACAGGGAAAAAAAATGTAATAAGGCAAAAGAACGTGCACGAGCAGGTATATTCACCTCAGAGGAGAGGTTTGGGTGAAGAAATTATTTTGTGCGGACGACAAAAACCGTCCGGATTTGCTTCCCTTTTACTACGCTATTGCAAATACTCAACAAAATGGCAATAAATATGCATTCATAATTGTACTTTAGCAAATACTAAGTAAAAGGGTAGCAAAAGTGCAATTATGAATGTATATGTGTTGCCCTTTTACTGAGTATTTGCAAAAACGCAGCAAAAAACAGCTAAAGCGCATCAAATCTGGACGGTTCTTTCCGTCCGGCCTCCGCACAGAATAATTTCTCAGTTTAGGTGTGGACAAGGGATGAGAGTATGAAGTATGGTTACGAAACTACACTGACACTGCTATGCTTAAAAAATAAGGAACACACAGTAGGCACATGATTATTATATTTGCAACTGTGAATCTATGCACAACCCCACAAATGAAATATAATGTGTTTTAAATAACTATTAAATAGCAGCATATACATTTTAGTATTTGTAGATAAAATGCAGAAGGCAAAACTTAGGAGCTACCCGAGTGATAGCCGTGGTAAGGGAAACTGACCAGAAGAAAAAAGACTAACATAAAATGAATTTGGTTCATATTAGGCAAAGAGTGACATTTTTTATCTTCAAACTATTTCCATTGTGTGTTAGAACCACGTTGAGAAACATTCAAGAAGTGCCTGAATTTTATTAAAGATTAAAAAGAATGAGAGATCATGATCTGTATATAATGTCCTAGAGCATCAAAATGCCTGTGAAAATATGCTTCTGACTAGACAAAAACGACCCCAAAAGTGTGCCTCATACGTGAGACAGCAAAGTTGTCCAAAAAGAAGAGAGAGAGAGAGAGAGAGAGAGAGAGAGAGAGAGAGAGAGAGAGTTTACTTCTAGAAAAGTTCAAATCAAAGCACCATAATTGAAGCAAACTAGACAAACAAAAGCCATAAAACCATGTTGAGATGCAGGAACAGGGTCCACAAGATAAATTTAGAAAACGGAAGCAACATGCAAGGTTTGTTTTTTTAGGGAATGTGAATAGAAAATCTGAGAAAGAAAGAAAACCTATAAATTTGGAAATAGAAATGTTAACATCTCAAATTATGAAACCTTCTTTCCATAAATTTGGACAAAAGGACGTGCTGTCAAAGATATTTAAATGAGAATAAGAATTGAAAGAAGCTAGTTAACAAAGGGAAATTTTTTATTAATAAATGCATGATAATACACATGGCAAACCATTTACTCATTTGAGAGATACGCTTAGCATAGATATTAATTAAATGAGAAGGGATGAGATGTGTTCACATAGTCATACAAACATGTGGTTGTTGGAGATCCAGGTGGCAGGAGGGTGTGGAAATTTAAAAAGGGTTAAGCATTCTACAAAGCAAATAAGCTATCAAATTGTTTTTTTTTTTAAATATCTAGCTGATTTCTAGCAGAGATGGTGAATATGCTACTAACTTGGCATTTGACAAGAGAAAGTTATATAGTATTTGACAATATTGATCAGATCCGCACCTTACAAAGGTTTCTGCCCAGTCTTGAGCTGTATGTGTAGTTACATGGGCATAATTATGCCTATGGCGCTTTTCTCTCTCATCAGAAGGCATGTTCAACGCATAACCTATTGACTTAGCAACCTCTGTGACGTTCCATGGGTTTACAAGAAGGGCGCCAGCTCCAAGAGATTGAGCTGCACCTGCAAACTATATAAAAAATTAAATAGCATGGAAACTTCATCCAGAAGAACTGTGGAAAGTGTGGAAATAAGAGGAAAAACTGAAAAACAAGGAACAATTCAGAAAAGCTACATGCAATTAACTGTGTGCAGGAGTGTACATGACATGTAGCGGATAAAGGAAAGGAGGAAAATTCGCCAATTTAACCTATGTTGCAACATCAATTCGATCAGCCAGGTATTTTGTTTAAATCTTTCACGTTTATGTTTTATATTCCTTATGTTTATCTGTTTTTGTCCATGTAGGTTGTCAGAACAACACCTGTTAAAAAATTTAATTGCAAAAGTAATTAAAAATTCATCTATAGTAATTAAAAAAAATCCCTTTGTTATTCCCTCCTCTCCTATCCTTCCTCTTCCTGAACATTAAAACTCCTGTCCATCCAAACACCAGTTCGTTACTAAGCCCAAACATTTCTGGAAAGCTCAGACACAAGTAGAACATAGACGTTGCAGCTAGAGGCTTCCCTCTTCTCGTCAATGACTACCTGATGCGGACATCCAACCGTCCATGACTATCCAAGGAGCTGAAGATCAACGGCTGTCAACATCCCACGTTATCTTATATTTTATTTGTAATTTTTAAATTTTTATTATGAATTTTCCGTTTTTACCCTCACCCCTCACATAAGAGGGTCGTCCTATGTAAGCCTTAGGAGCATATGTGTCTTGTTTTAGTTTCTTAGGCCTATATATAGAGGCCCTTTCTTATGTAATGGGATGATGAATTGTTAATGAAATTTTATTCTACTTATTTGATCTCTTAGTCAGTTCATGAGAGGAGAAGGATCTCTTTGTGAGTTCCGAGATTCCCAAGATCTCTTTGTGAGTTCTTGAGGAAGTGGAATGATCTCTTTGTGAGTTCCGAGATTCCCAAGATCTCTTTGTGAGTTCTTGAGGAAGTGGCGCTTGTAGATCTCTTTGTGAATTCTATTGGAGGTGTTGCTCGAGGTGTGTAGCTCCGGATTTTCTTTTTCCTAAACCCAATTTATTTATTCTCTACCTAACCAAACTCTCTTCCTCCCAAATCCCCTCCACCGGCCCCCATAAGTCCACTGCCGGCCATCCAAGGCCAATCCCACCACCGGCTCCTTGGGACGACCAAGCCACCGGCCTCCCTCTTGAGAATTTCAAATTTGAAATTCAAATTTGCTTCCAAGAGGCATTGAAGACTTTCCTAAAATAGTTCCTTGATTTAAGGCTTTCATATTAATTGGATGTTAATTTGAATTTGAAATTCCAATTAATTCTAATTGATAGCCCCATTATTGAAAATTTTCCTTTCTTTCAAAATCTGAATTTTAATTCAGATTTTATTGAATCTTTGATTAGTAATGTGGGCCCCACTCTACTTATGACAAATAATCTCCTCCCTCTCTCTATGTGGCCAGCCCCCTCATTGGGCATAATCTCTTTCCTATCTCATTAATAGGCCCCCTCATTAAGCCTTCATAATTACCTCCCACAATTCCCTCTCATCCAATTTAATTCTCCCCATTAAATTTGAATTTAAATTCAAATTCATCCCGGCAATTCCACTTAATCTGAAATTTAATTTCAAATTTTCATTCTCTCTCCCCAAATTGATTTGGGATTTAATTAATCTTGCCACCTAAACAAGTACATGGCATTTACGTTTCACATCGCTACCATTACAAAAAGTCCTGCTTCACTGAATTCTACATAAGCGAGGGGAGTGTAATGAGAAAGATGTTAAGGCCTGGCCAAAGAAGTTACAGGTCCTCTGCCGCTGATACTGATAACAAAACAAAAAGGCATGCAAGAAGGAAGCCCCGAAAAAAGATTCATGAATTGGCGTATGTGTGAAGGTGTATGTCAGTGGGCTTTAAAGAAAAGTGTATTGGTTGGGTTTAAGTGAAGGCATTCTCTATAATCCATAAGGTAAGGCACAATGATAGATGTGAAGCCTAATTTTCTCACAAAATTTAAATGTGAAGTCCATATCTATTACACGTATTTGTTATATGTGTTTTCCCTCCATTCCTAAAACCTCTACGTATTACCTTATTTCATCTACCTAGCCATAAATTAATTATATATGGGCTTCAAAAATTTATATCCTGACTCTGTTGAAAGGGTTTAAGTAGTTCCAGCTCAATTTTTAGAAGGCAAAGTAGTTTGAAGATAAGATAATACACAAAACATTTACCTTTATTTTGCCCTGGTTCAAGGTTTCTAAAATGCACAAGTCTCACTGATTAATTACCCTCTTGGTGACAAAAGAGAACTTTTGATTAAAGCTGGTTGTTAAAAGCTAAGTGCTTAGTGTATGGTAGTATTTGATATAAGACTTGAAATTTATCACTTTATATTTAAACCGAATGGTGGAAAGAATGATGACAAACGCAATCAACAACTCATAGTTTCATTATCTCAAGTTATCATGGACTCTAATCTACTTAGTCAAAGGAAATAATCAACCTAATCTAACCTAAAAACTTTGTAGGCAGCCAAGAATTGCCTATTTAACACTGCACCCGGACAAATAATAATAACTATAATAGTAATAATAAAAATAAATATTATTATTATTATGAAGTAAGTTTTTTATTGCATACTTTTGTCGTTCCGTTCATAGATATTGCATTGTCACATCGCTTGGAGATGAATTTATAATGGCCCCTTCAATATGAGTATCAATCTAAGCTGTTTTTGATGTCCCAAATGCATCAACATATTCCATTTTGCAATTGGTTCACTGTTTGAGTGATTTTGGTTTTTTATCAACGCATTTTGAACAGTATTCGCACAAGGTTGTGTCTTCCACTTGTTGTTTTCACTGTTTGGTCGAGTCGGTTTCGAAGTTGTTATTGAGGTCAACATTACCTACCACTTTTAGGCTCTCAAAGGTGTTGATATGCATCACTTACTATTCTCCTTCATTCAACTAGGTGAAAAAGTAGTGGCTGTAGATGTGGCCGATGGAATGATTGGAAGTTGATAGTTACGGTAGTTTCCTCAATGAAAATGTGATCAGAAGCACTAGCGGTGATGGTTGAAAGCTAGAGGCCTTCACAAGAGGAAACAAATGACTATTATAGAGTCTTGTGATCGGCAAAAGCAAGTTCGACATAGGATGTGACAGACTTTCTTCCGGCTCCAAAGTGCATAAACGATGGAGAGGGAATATAAGAGGGGGAGAATACTAGCCAGATGAATGTGGGGAAACTATTTGTATAAGCAAATATTTTATCTTGTATTTCCGCTGGACTAGTTAATGTTTGTATCTTGTATTTTTCAATCTTAGGATGGTTGAGAACACTTCCGTAGCAGTGCATATCAATGAGTTCAATTTAATTACAAGTTCAGTTGAGCTCGGTAGATATCAACTTTGAAGAAAAGGTCCATTCATTGAGCTTGTTATCATCACTTTTGAAGAGCTAGGTTAGAACTATGATAGTTGCCACTAATCCATGGGGGGTCTACAAAAACCTTAATGATGTTTATGACATGAACTTGAGTGAGAAAATCAAATGACATGAAGTCAAACATCAAAAAAGAAGGTAATGTTCAAATCTATTATTGGAGTTCTTAAAAGTGCAATGCAGAATAAACATTTTTCCTAGTTGGAGATTCTAAAAAATAAATGGGTATTGCAAGGTAGAAGACATTTCATAATCAATAAGCAGCAAAATAACAGGGCAAGGATAATCGTAAAGGTTTATTATTGATTATATTTGGTAGTGGAAAACCTTGATCAAGTTATAGATGATGAAGAGAGAATGACACAAAGAAAATTCTCTCAAGGCAATACATTGAAAATTCAAACTCTACGCAGGATATTGTGTCTGATTGTCTCACTAATTTTAATTTTAAAGTGAAAACCAAATAATGTACTTGTTACCCGTGCCTTCAATACATTCATAAAATATCTATCTATACTCCTTACAAACTATTACTTATAACCTTATCTTATCTACCTAACATATTCAAATTTGTTACCCACCATTTTTAAGCTTATCAAAAATGATAATTGCATGATATGGCATGCATCACTCATTCTTCTCATTTATTAAACTAATTGTTGAGCAAACATAAGAGAAGTGTTGGTTCAGTGATTGGAGATTAGTAGTTAACTTGATCGATGTCAACAGAGATTTTTCTGTTGTGTGATCGATAGTGTCCTCTGAAGGCTAGATGATAGTTAGAAGTTGGAGCCCTTCATAAGACATAAAATAATGGCTATCATCGGGGTTGGTGACCAGTGAGATTGTCTGACATATGAGGCGTCAAGCTTTCCTATATCTTCATGGAGCATAATCCATGAAGGAATCATGCTCAAGTTTAGAGAGAGAATAAGACAAGAAAAAAAAAATACCAATGAGATAAAAATGAGAAAAATAACTGAATGAGTAAATATTTGTATTTAATATTTTTCTTTGGATTATGCCCACACTCAAAACTCCTTAGAAATGACTTCCAATTTGCCGAGGAAGACTTAAAAAATAGAATTAGCCCAAAGAAGTAGAACCAACAAATGTATTTGCTAACCAAGAAAGTAAGAATTGTGACAAGAATATCAAGAATTTGTTATCAATCAAGCAATATTTGTTTTGCACGTAAAACAAGTCTAATACACAAGCATTACAACTAGAAATCTCAAGCATCAACATTAGAAATATGGAAAGATGGATGAAGTTACACAATATTGCACTTCAATTAAACTCAGAAATCTTGAAGTTCTTACCTCACTTAGTATCAACACCCCCTTTTTTGCACCTTGGCAGGCTACAAACTCATAACTTACGAGATTCATGCCATCTCTAAGTGATGTTACGAGAGCAACATCTGAAAATTTTCCGAAAAGACAAGGAATTAAGATTAAATGAAATCTCCATGATAGCCCAAGTTCCTAAAAGGGCGACAAATGGCAATTGAAATAAATCTATGATTGTATGAATTCACTTCATATTTAATTAATTAGTGTAATTATTATAAAATTTTCTTAATTTTTAAGATTTTATACAATAATGATATATCCGTGTCATATATTTTAAATAATAAGCATGCGTGTGTCTGTATCATATGGTGTTCATACCCCTATTCTCATGTCCTACATTCTCCATCATGTTGCATACATAACACACAAAAAGAGAAACATAAATCTGCTAAATATAAGAATTAATTACCAGTAACTGCATATAGAGCACATAATGCATGAAAGTCAAGGGAACGATCCTGCAAAAAGGAAGAATCATTAAAAAATAAACCTTTTACACAAAATACTTGCATTACAAGTCTCATAAAACCCAGAAAGACAGATAGCTCAGACCTTCATAAAATAAACTAGTTAGCAAAGAAAATTTACGACCCAAGGTCTAATGTAGGATTTTTCCAAGCTGGACGCCAGGACTGCACATTATATGCCTTGGGATGCTATCAGTGGCATAGAAGAGAGACATTAGACAAGAACTGGGACTAAAGAATTAGTAGAGTTTTGGATTTTTCCTTCTGATCAATAATGTTTTTTAATCACATCAATTTCCAAGTTTTCCACTTTTTCAATATTAATAAGTGCATATTAACTCAACATCGGGTCGAGGAATAGGAGAATGATTACAACAAACAAAAAGCCTGCAGTTACAATCCAATAGTATAAACCATGAAACAATCTGACAAGAATACACTACAATCTAAAACATCTGGAATCGCCTTAGATAAAATTGAAGAATAAGAATAAACAGACCAATGAAGAGAGTAGTTAAGACAAACCAGATGATGTATAGGAACAGCAGTTAGTGTACCAAACCGTCCATTTATACGTCCAACTATTTCATGGACTTGGCTAGTTAGCTTTTGATCTGTTCGACAGGGAAAAAAATAAGAACGCCTAAAAAATTGCCCTTTGAAAGAAAAGTCAGTTTTTATTGTAGTTTGCTGTAAAAGAAAAAACAAACAAACGAAATCCAAGCTAAATTTATAAGCATTTGCAAAAAAGGTAAACAAGTTAAAAATTACAAGACTACAAATTACCTAGTGCAAGAGAAAAGTATATATCTACTTGATAATTGGTAGATTGCCTAACAAGAACTCAAGGAAGCCCAACTGGAAATCCAGAGCAGTGAAGACAATTGGCTGGGCTACAGCTAAATGCTATAAGAAAAGCTTATTGAAGTTATTGAGTCAAAATGCCCACTTTATCAAATCTCTACAATATATGATACAGATCTCCTATTTATCACAAATAATGGATATAGATTTGCAAAAATATGGTTGAATCCTTTTGCGCACTAAGAGATTTTGTAAAATTTTGTGGAATCTTATAATTAACTCCATGTTCTTATTCTCTTTCTATATTATTAGCATACATATAGATTTAATAGGAGTTTGGCATCCCCAAAACAACAAGAAAACAAACAGGAGATAGAGAGGAGAGTGGAGGTGCCAACTGATATAGAAAGGGAAGAGTTTTCTTTTCAAGTGCTTGCAAGGGAGAGGTCTTCAATTTCTTCGGGAGGGACGACATGCTACAAATTCAATTCCAGCAAAAGGACAAGTTTTTTACAATAGCAATAAGAATATCTGTGGGCTCCAAAAATTCGGCCCCGGCCTCCGCCCACTCGTGCTTTTTATTCGGCGATGGAGTTTTAACGGAATAAGTTCTGGGGTAAATTTTGGAAGGCAGATGGGTTTGTAGATAAGACATTACCCAGAGATTTTGCCCTCATTTTGCGAGGTCTTTATGATCTGAGTTCTGGTTTCCTATAGGCACAAGCCCTATAGTTAATTACCCCTCCTAGTAACGAGAGAGAACTTTCGATTAAGGCTAGTAGTCAATCAGATACGTAGAGATATGCGTTATCTGGCATATAGTAGCAGCAATGGGTTTGGATTTGGAAATTTGGAAAGTTGTAAGAAATGATATTTAAAAATAGAAATTTTCACCATCTTGCACTTAAAGCATATGGTAGGGGAATGGATGATGGACCCGATCAAGATCTCATGGTTTCGTCGTCCCGGGCCATCGTGATCCCTGGTCTACTTAGTTAGAGGAGGTAGTCGACCCAACCTAACAGAAGGATCCTTGTCGGCAGTCATGGGTTGCTTCGTCCAAGGGGACCTTGTAAACCTAGGGGGATGTTTGTACAAGGGGACAAATTTGAATCCACCTTAACTAACAGAGGGCTTTGTGCCCTATCGATCATATCCTATTAATTCATATATCAAGGATTTGATGTCACTAAGGAGCGTATTGGCTCTGGCCATAACCGGTATTTCATGGTGCCATTTGGCGGCAAAACCACTCGATTCAGAGGGCCCCGGGTCATAACCGTTTATCCTGCGGTGCCATTTGGCGACAAAACCGCTGGTCAGAGGACACGTACCACGTCCTTATTGGCAGGATATTGTTTGAGAATAGATCCTAGTGATATTTTCGACTAGGCATTTAACTCTTTGTGAGCTGAAGTAATTTTCAGATTTATCCACCTCGGCAAACTATTGCGAAGGGTGGATGGATTTGCTTTAAGTGTTTAGATGGTTGATTTTTAATTTTAAATATCTGGATCTGGATAATTTGGGGGAAATTTGGATTTTTTTAGATTTTGGATTTTATGGGTGGCATGTTGAAATACTGGAAATGGACCCCTTCGGTTGAGATTTGCATTCAACACGGCCATCATCGAGGTATTTTGGGGTCATTTCCATTAGAAAATATTTGAATTTTGTGAATGAATCTTGTCAACTTTATCGAGCTGTCGACAGAGGATCGGGTTTCATAAGCTTTATACCTTAATCAGTGAATTCTCATTATTATAGGCTTTGAAGGCATAATATGAATGTATTAAAACAAATATACTGGTCGTCACTACCGTATATTTGTTTGATTGTTCGAACCCTGTCGACTCCTATTGATCCACATAGAAGTATCGGGTTCAAACTTGAATTCACTTATTGACCCGCGCAGCATCCCTAGACGTCACGTGTGTACCAATAACACGCTCGCCGGAGCCCATGCGGATGTTTTGGGGCATTTTATAATTATTTGTAAAGCCTTGTCGACTCTTATCTACCTGCTTAGGAGGATTGGGTTCAAATTTATTGACCCACGTAGCATACCTAGACGTCACGTGTGTACCAATAACACGCTCGACGGGGCCCATGCGGATTTGATTATATTTACCCCTTTTGTGTACTTATGTGTATACAAATTACAGTGCATGTGCGGGGGTACTTATTTCAGACTTTGTTGACGCCTTCTATCTGCTTGTACGAATATCGCAAATCCGGTGGCGTGGCATTGTAACTTGTAAACGCCTTTTGTCTGCTTGCATGAGTGTCGCAGATCCAGTGGCGTGCCATTGTAACTTGTAGACGCCTTCTGTCTGCTTACATGAGTGTTGCAGATCCGGTGGCATGTTACTGATCATCATCCATAATTATGTTATTATACATATGGAGAATCTTTTGTCAGTGCTAGCGGACATCTGCGCTTTCCACGCTCTTCTATCTCATGCCTGTAGAGAATCCACCAATATCAGTGATGCATTCACCATTATTGCATGGATATAAATTCTTTTTATACATCACAAGTTTTCTCCCATTATGTGTGGGCAGACTGCGCTGAATGTGGATCTTCTAGTGCCACTCGTAGATAAGTTTTAGTATCTTCTACTATATATATCCCTTTGTTAGTGCTCTTGAGTGGACGAAGTAGAGGTTGTCACATCTTCTTGCATGATTGTTGTGCTGATTATTATCAACTTCCTCTTTGCTATTCACAAGACAGTGATGCAAAACAGTTGCTTTATTCACTAAATGCTTTTCATTCAATCACTTTGAGTGTATACATAAGATAATTGTCAGTATTATTATCCACAAGTGGGTGTAGTTGTCCATCTGTAGATTAGCATTGCTCGTCGGATGAGTTGCATTCGTTATTGATCTATCATCAAGTTCATTATGCACATTGATCAATGAACTGCAACATTTCTTGCAGGGAACTTTATTGCTCGTAGGCTATAGGCTACATGTTTCACCCCCTTTTTTATTAATGTCTATAGGGAATTTGTTGCATACATTATAAACTCCCTTATGTTATGAATAGATCATGCTATTGCAAATTTCTTGCATCAAGAGTATGGATGATATCCTTTCCACTTCTTTCTTGCAACGGTTTGTAGGGTGCCACATTCATTGTATATGAATTGTTGTTGTCCATGAGGCTCTACCATTATGTCCAGTGTGTACCTCTTGCACTTAATTAGGATTTGCCATCTCACCACTCATAACTTCATTTTAAGCATTATATCAAGCTCCTTCATGCTTGGTTCCAACTCCACATTGTCAAATCTCTTATGGTTCATTTGAATTCCTTGTGCTATGGTTCGACTTGAATTATTATGGATCATTCAATTCAAATTGAGCATAGTTCATTATCAAACCCCACTTGATACTGCATGGTCCAAGTTCAATATTTTCAAGCTCTCATGTACTTGGCTCAAGTCTCACTGATTTATTTAAATTTGAGTTAGGTTTATGCTCAATTCAAGTTTAAATTAGTGTTTAATTTTGTCACACTTGAGTTCAAAATCTAGTTCAAGTTTTGAGTCCCAGTATAGTTCAGGCTCGAAGCGAACCTCTTCCGTTCGTTTGAGTCCCCTGCTGTTTGAATTGCAAGTTCATACTCAAGTTTTTTGTTCTTTTGACATTCAAGTCAAGTCATAATTCATGTTCCTTAGAGTTCAATCAAGTTCGGTTTGAGTTCATAAGTCCCTTGTGGTCCAACTCAAATGTTTGCTTGAGTTCAAATTGTCCAAGTTCAAGTTCTCATTTGATCAAAAACGAGTTCAAGTGTTCAATTCTTTGAATTCAAACTCTTCTTGCTTAAGTTTGATTTTAAGTCTTTTGTTAAAGTTTGAACTTAATACGTTAATGTCCAAGTCCTTGTCCTTTTGAGTTCAAATCAGGCTCGAATGTAGTAGCATGTTCACCCAAAATTTTGACAGCCTCCCGACGTCTCCCCTGTTCAGGGGAAAACTATGGAAAACTGGGTCTCCCGCCATGCTAGAAAAAACCGCATGGACCATCATTGTCCCTTCCTAAACCAGAGTAAAGAACTGTTCGTAGAAATCTCCTTCCCGATTGATTTCGAAATATTCTAATAAACTATCTTTTAACTCCCTCTACGATCGGATTGGATCTCTCAAGTCTCTCCACTGATACCAAGACAATGCATTTACCTCAAAGCAAAAAGCCGCCGCTGTGAGCCTCTCCTCCTCCGTCAGCCCATTCATCGCAAAGTATCTCTCCATCCTATAAATCCACCCATGAGCATCTTGCCCCTAAAAAAAAGGGCATCTTCAACTTTCTCACTCTTGGATCCCCACCGCCCCAACTTCCTCTTCCACCTCTGGCTCCTATGTGGCGATTGTTGTGATCTCTCCATTGTTCTCTCCCACCTCTCTTCCTTTCATATATATCCTCTTCCTCAAAATCAACCCTCCTCATTTCGTTCTCCCAATTTATTCTCATGCCATATCCTTCACCAAATTCCCTCCTGGTTATCGGTTCAAGAGGTGGCCTATTTTCCCCGTCGCCAAGATTCTACCTCTCGATCACCCCCCATTGTGGCGATCTTGGGGTTTCCCCCACTTCCTTGGCCACCCACCAGCTCCGATTTTGCCATTTGGGTATGAAGCTCAAATATTTTCTTCAACATGTCCGGTTAGAAAACCTTCCTTCCAAAGATGAAATCCATTCCTCAACTTAATATTTGAATTGGTTAACTTTTTCTTCTAGTTTCTCTTTCAAAGCACCAACTTTCTTGGCATCATAGACCATGAATCATGCTCTGATACCAATTTGATATGACTTGATGATCAAAATAGCACACAACAATAAAGAAAATATCAACTCACTCCAAATAGATTCAGAAATAACACCAAGAGGGATCTATTTACTAATCTCCAAGCAAAGAAAGACAAGATAAAAGTTGATTCACTATTCGAGAGGTGAATCGTCTCCCTCATAATTCCTAGCATCCACTAGGAACCCAAACACCCAACCAAAAATGCTGTAAAAAATAGAACTCAGCATAAACTCTAACCCTCCACAATCTCCCCCCTTAAACAGACAAAATCCCCTAATAAATGCCCCTTATATATTTCCTAAAGAGTTTCCAAGCCTCTTCTCCTAAGATGATAAAAGAGGTCTTGGGCCCCACCCGAGCAGCTGGGCTGCCAGCAGCCACATTAGTCTCGAATCTAATCTACTTTCTAAAAATTTGACCCAAAAACATCACTAAAATCTCCCAGCAAGAGGCTAGTGCACAAATTTTTAAGGCCCACAATTAAGTGTCACAATTGTAGAAGATAAACTGTTGAATATGTAGCTTCCATTAAATCCAATAAGAATATGTTATGATTTGAAAGCTTTATGAAAGAATTGAATAAGTCACAAGATTTTTTTTTTCCTTCTTTTTCCCTTTTGTGACAAAAAAAGTACCATTAATTTAGTAAAGAACTCTATCTCCTACCCTTCAAGAAAACAAATTCCATACTAAAGTTAAATTTAGAGGAAAAAATTCCATACTAAAGTTAGTACACCAAAAATTGATTCATCCAAGTGAAATATTATTTACTTTATGGAATCAAAATGTTCTAATTATCAAATATATCAAAGATATGATTGAGATTTTATATTTATTGTAAATATTAGATTGAGATTTGTAAGGATAAGATTCAATTCTTTAAGAGTTTTTTTTTTTAAGAGAATTTGTAAAATTTTGAGGATATTATAATTACTTCTACATTTCAATCCTCTTTCTTGAAAGTTGCATTTTCATTGATTAAAAAGAAAGCACAAAAGTATGGATCCTATGCCTTCCCAAAACAAAAAAGCAAAAGGTGGGAAGGGCTATACTATCAAAGCAAAACTCCATACAAGTATGATAATTGAAAGTAAATGCAAGGAAAAAAACAAGGACAAGCCCCTTTGATTGGCAAGGAGGCCCACCCCGAATGCATGCCCTCAGAGATCCAGTAGTGCTTAAAGAACAACTCCTCTTTCTATTGTGACTATAAATGGAACCTTAAAAGGAGAGGCATCTCACAACAACAAGCAAACAAAGAAAAGAGAGAGAAGGGGAGTAGTAGTTTCCAACAGAAAGAGAGGAGTTTTTTTCTTTTTCTTTTTTGTAGGTATTCTTATGAAGAGGTTTCAATTTCTTCAATTGAGAGGAGGTATTGCTGTTTTTGGTTCCCATAGGAGATAAGTTTCATCCATAGAGATGCTTCAAATTAGTCTCTGATGCACACTAAGATCAAAGTAAAATTGAACATTTATAAGCAAGAATTAAATTTCTCAATTTAATAAGATTTTGAATTTTTAAGTGGAGTCATCAACATGCAAATAGTTGCTCATCATGATGCAAATATGAAAATTTTGATGAACATTTTCCTCATCATCCATTTATAATATATGATATTCAATCATCATCAATTTATGAAAAAATTTATGCTTTGAAAATTGATAAGTTGCTACCATCTTTATAATTATCACTTAAATTTACAAAGAATTTAAGCTACAATTTTATCAAGAAAATAATAAAAGAAATATTATTTCATTTATTAAAAGATTATGCTAACATCTTTAATTAAGATTGGAGAAATTAAAGATGATATTGATCATTATAATAATTATTATTGGGATTTATTCTCTTTCCCAAGAGAGATGGAAAAAATGTTACAATAAAAAATAAACATGAGACACCCTCCCCTCTCTCCACCTTCCATTAAGACTTCAATGCAATAAAGGAAGATTTGTATACTTTATAATCAAGAATCTCCTCAATTATGCAATCAAGTCATAAAGATTTTGGAACTTCTTTATATTTCCTCCAAGAGATTATAATAATGTGTATTTAAGTGTTTATAAATATTAAGTGAGTTGTATCAAAAAATCATATTGGGTTAAACAATATAAGGCATTGCTTATATTTGATGAAAGGAGAAGCTTGGTGGCTTTCTTCCATTCGCGTTCTTTGGCGAGACTCCTTCAAACTATCTTTGTATCCCCATAATATTCTTTTGAATAATATCTTCTTCTTTATCCATGCTACGTTTATGTTGTCATGAGTAGCTCACCTTAAATCTTCATAAGTCTCATACAATAGAAAAAGAAGAGTAATTACAATGCTACTTCATCACATCCAACCCTTATTCTCACAATAGGTATATGGATTCTCTCTCGGCTATTAGCATAGATGAAATAGTCTATCCATCCTTATCTCTAACTTTTCAAAGTTTATTACAATATTTGATCATTATGTGACAGTGTATGTAGGTGAATCTCATTAAATCACATAAATTCTATATGCCTTTGTTTATATATTTACTATATTTGGTTTTTTCTTTTCTATGCATCTACTTTTTATTATTACCCTAGATGTATATAAATTTTTTATGAATGTTGGCCATTAAAAGAGAAGTATAATATTAAGTTAAGTGTTGTTGAGATGAGGATGCTTAGGTGGATGAGTGAATTTACTCTTAGAGTTAGTATACGAAACGAGCATATCTGTGAAAAGGTTGGAGTAGCTCCAGTGACAAATAAGATTAGAGAGTGTAGCCTTAGATGGTTTGGTCATGTAAAATGACAGCCCTCCAATGACCTTGTTAGGTGAGTAGATGTATTAGATTTGGACTATTTTAAGAAAGGTAATATATAGACCTAAAGAGACTTGGTTAGAAAATATTACAAATAACTTTTCTTTATTAGATTTAAATGAGAATCTTACTCTTAACAGAACACAATGGAGAAAAAGAATTCATGTAGTCAATGTGGGATAAAGGCTTGATGTTGTTGATGTTGTTGTACTTGTTATTGTTACCCTAACAAAGCCCGTCTTGGGCCACCCAAGCCATATATACCTTTAATCATTTGTAAGGACAAAACATATGCTGACGTGAATGTATATATATACACACATGTGAGTTTAATATGAGGCCATTTCATCATAACATAATATAAAAAGATACGGGTAAAAAATAGAACTCTACCATTAAGTCGGTGAAAGAATAATTAAAGATAATAAAAACATACACTCGGGAACATCTGTTCTTGTAGGCACTGCAATTTGAAGTAAGACAACTTTATCACGCCATTCTGGATTTTCCTCAAGGAACTTCTCAAAAGCCAAAATTTTTTGAGGAATCCCTTTTATCATATCAAGACGATCAACACCAAGCATCACCTAACATATCAGAGAACGGTGAATAACCGGTCATAAAGTTAATATATACAGTTTGGATCTGAAGATCATAAATCAAATATTTGTCCTATTCTTTATTAATAAAAAATCACTTTTTACAGTGCTTGAAGATAATAAACAAAAACTTCCATACCTTCCGACCAGCAAATCTTTGCGTCAATTCATTGATATGCACTTTAACTGCTGGGAGCTCAAGAGCTCGCTTAAACCGATCAGAGTCTATGCCAATAGGAAACTATTATGTGTGCCAAAAAAAGAACAAAACACAAAAACGAAGTGAGCATTCAAGGCACTTCTAATCAAAAATATATCTAAGCATTCTAACTTAACAAGGAAGTTACAAGCTCTGAACTATGAAAGTAAACCAGCAAGGGAATACTTCATATAAAAATGAAAGAAGAAATTAACAACACAAATTATACCGCAGCCACTCGTGTCAGCTTTCCCTGATCCTCCACTCCTTCTGGTGTGCCCTCAAGACCAAGAATTCGAGTGCAAGCGCTTACAAAGTGTCTTGCATAGTCGTATGTGTGAAAACTGTGTATTACCATCAGAGAAGAAGATGCTTGTAATTCAATAGAAAGGTCAGTTTCCCAACGAGGTAATAAGAGCTCACTATGCAAATGTAAATCACATAGCAGAACTAAAAAGAAAAATTCAATCCTTCAATATTAAACGAACCATTTTAAGTACTAATCTATTGCTGGTTCATGAGAATTCTTTGTGCCAGCTATTCAAATATCCTTAAGTCTTTGCTTGAATCTTTAATCGTGAAATTATATATGATCTCATCCCCTTCCATCATAAAATAATATTTATAATAAGAAAACCCACAGCTCACGTCAAAGGTGTTCCTAAAAAATTAAGATGGAATTTAAATGTTTGCATCCCTACTTTCTATACTCATCAAAAAATATTGTCATATCAATAAAACTTGTAAAAACTAGTTGCTGCAGAAACTTATACATGTAAAATGATCTAACTAAATGCAACATAAAACTCAAAGAAAAAACATAAAAAAAGGAAACTCCATGCATAACAATATGAAGTGATTGAAAGGAAAGAAGGAAAAAAATGGAAGGATCTGTGATGCATTCATATTACTAGACATTCCAAGTAGTACCTAATAACTAGATATTCTCATTTTTTTTTTAAGTTAATGGTATAACCCTACCCAAACTAGGCCCATTGTTAAATAAAACGGGTTAAGCATGTGTATGGTAGTTGTACAAGGTTTCAAATAAGTGGGGATTCTCAAAAAGCCCAATCCCTGCTACCATTCCAAAAAACGAAAAAACCCAACAAGTGTGCAAATGAGAGAGAGAGAGAAGAGCAGGGGCGGATCTTTGCCCCCCTAAAAAATTTTAAAAAAAAAATCTTTATTATATGATTCTTTAGGTAATTTGTCCCCCTCCATCTATTTTTTAGTCTTTATTACAAGGGTTTTTAGGCAATTGCTCCCCCTAAAAGTTTAAAAATAATATGGCCTTTAAGCAATTTCCCCCAACAAATAGTAAAGAGAATTCATCATTTTATTTATTAATTTGAATTCCAAAAAAATCCTTACAACAAAATTTTTTTTGGGGACGCTGCCCCCTTGGACGTCCGAGGGGTCAAACCAAACTCAAGGCAACTCCAACATACATTTTATAGAAATTGAATGATTAATCAATTCCTTCATTTTGATTTTTTTTTTCAAACAAATCATCCATACTTTAACCTAAATTTTGTTTAAGAATAATTATCATTATATAAAATGTTGATGATATTTTTAAAATATATTATGTACTCAAGTACAAAAAATCATTAGTCACTAAAATGGCTACAAAATTTTAAGACAAAATTATATATATATATATGAAAAAAATAATTCTCTACACTTCTTAGCGACAAAATTATAAGACTTTTTTTTATTTTTAGTGACTAATATCAAGTTCCCTTATTATCTAAAGACCTTAATTACTTTTTGTAGCAAAAAGATATCTTTAGATACCATTTTCTTTTTTACTCTATTTTTTTTTCGCTATTAACCCATTTTCTTGTAGTGAAGGGTCGAGCCAAATTCAAGGCAACACCAACAGTTACTTATAAGTTCGTCCACCTGAAAATTAAGGTTGGTTCCGCCCCTTGAGAAAAGGGAAAGAGTTAGGTACTTTATATCCATCTCATTTTATCACCGTCATAAAAATGAGTGTACCCCATGTGGATAAGAGTTTCCACAGTGGATTACAGAGTGTCATGCTTTATGAGCTCATGTGCCAATCACAAATGGCCATCGCCATCAAAAGAAAAATATATGCTTACCCAACCAAATCAGCTGCAAGAACTGATTTAAGTAGCTCGGAACGAGATGGCAGTGTCCTATGAATTTCCGATGAAGGAAAAGGCGTGTGAAGGAACCAACCAACTTTCATCTTGCCGTTGAAATCCTTGAGGCATTTAGGAAGAAACATTAGATGATAATCATGGCACCAAACAACATCACCCTCTTCATAGTGTTCATTCACTACATCTGCAAACATCTGGTTCGCCCTTTTGTAAGCGTCAAACTGAGACTGGAAGCTCCGAGTTGTAGCTAGTCGATCTTCTTGGGGAAGCCCGAGGTAGTGAAAAAGCGGCCACAGAATATTATTACAGTAGCCATTGTAATATTGATGAACTATTTCTTCATCAAGAAAAACTGGAATACATCTCTGCTACAAAAGAAACAGATTTGCTAACCAACAAGCTAAGAAAGACAGAATCTGAACCAAGAAATTATTTAAAAAAAAAAAAAAAACAGACCTTCTCAGCCAGTGCTTTTGTAAGTGCCCTCTGCCCAACTTCATCCGGCACATTTACACCAGCCCATCCAATCCATTTAGCATCAACATCCCTCACACCTGTACAAGCATGTAAGAAAGTTTATAGATTTCAGAACTCCAATTTCTCTAATGCATAAAAGTAGGGAGAGAAAACAAAAATCAAACAGCTTGCAGGCAATATAGACAACCATATCATCACAATTCTATTAGAAATCATAAATATTCTCCAGTAATGCATGTAATGAGAAGAAGATTTTTTTTTTTTCATTTTTACTTACCAAGAAGAGCACTGACAAGTCCCCCAGCGCTGATATCCAGCGACCAGGAATCTTCACCACGGCGAACAGCAGACACAGGCAACCGGTTAGCCACCACCAGCAGCCTCTGCTTCATGGGCTTCCCCTCCGAAGCTCTGCATCCATCCCCCAGAATCCTCATGCCAGCTGGGAGAGACGAGTCTATCTCATCCTCATGTTCCCGCGCGTTCTCTGCCCCTCTCATCTCATCTTCAGGGAGGCGATCAGACTCCCGGGAGCAATCACCTCCATTGTTATCCTCACTGCTTCCAGCTGCATCGTAATCTTCGATATTAATGGTTTTACTTAGCTTCCTGAGCTCCCTATCCCGCAGCAGCCTATCAACCCTGTTCTGACTACGATTATTATACTTGTTTCCCGGCATATGATGGCTGCGTTGTCTGCCGGAGGCCAGCTTCATTAAACCAAGAGCCTACCAAAGTAGCGGCTCCCCTGCATTTAAACTGCTGAAAGGCCATTAGCTAACCAAAGGCCAAAAGCAACCATCACAAATAAATTAATCAAAAAGAAACGACTGGGAGATTAGAAAGACAGGAGCTTGGCATGCGACGAAGCTTCTCCATCCATCCATTTTAAAAAAATAAATAAAAAATTCTCACTCTATTCTGACTCATGACCGACTGTAGAGTCTCCAGTCTCAATGCAGCTCCAGATGTCGAGTGGGCGATTAAAGAAACGGGGGCCATTGCGCGCGCAATAGAGAGATATAGAAAGACAAAGAAGTGGAGACGAAGAGAGAGAATGCGAGGGTAAAGAAAGGAGGTAAGTGGTGGGGCGAAGAGAATCAGTGGTCCGTGTCCCGTCCTCCTTCCTTCTTCCGTATAACGAGTCCCATTCCGGACTTGAATGCTTCTTCATCCCACTAAGATCACAGAAATACGATCGTATCAAAGGTGAAGAAATCGGAACCAATCCAGATCAACGCGTACCCCCAAAAATCCCTACGAAATAACTTTTAACCCCAAACAGTAAAATGCACTACTTCCACGGATCAAAGACATTCAATCCTCATTAAAACAAATCTACCGGGTTGAAAGTGGAGATTGCCGGCTGTAAAAACTGTAAAGAAAAAGGGTAAAAATAAAGTCGGATAACCAGAAGCCGATTAAAGGTTAGGGTACGAACGAAAAAGTTATCCGGTATTCTTGTTCAAATAGAAGCGGTTCGTCTCTTCAACCGCCAGAGAGACGCAGTCGCAGTTAAGGAAAACCGCAAATCTTCTCCTTTTTCCCTCTCCCCAATCTCTTTCCCTCTATATCAATCCTTCTACAGAAATTTATAGATTGCAATATCTCCACGAAAATTAAAATATAATAATAACTAATAAGATAGAGAGCGATGCGTTCTTCTCCTGTGGGGACTGGAGCAACTTGCCGATATTTTGGCTGCCGATATTCAGAGAGAGAAAACGAAAGAAAATAGAATAACAGAGAGAGAATTCACCGCATCTCCTCCTCGAATCTACTCCTCTCCAATTCTTATCCACCCGCCAAATTCACTGCAACTTACTCTCACTGAGAGAGACCACCATGAATGCAGACGGAGGAATCTAATGAGCAGATTTTCTGCTTTTTAGAGAGAGAAACTTGAAGGAACCGCTCTTGTTTAAGTTGCATGCAGGTGTATATATATATATATATCTTAGGAAATTTTTTAATATTTATCACTTATTTTTTGATATTATTTAGAGTAATAGAGCATGCACAAATTCAAATATATTTATTAATCCTTAAGTAATTTTTTATGTAAAATTTTTAATTTTAAAAATAAAAAATTACTTTAAAAATTAAAAAAAAAAAATTCATCCTAAACGAAACATTAAAGAATTTGAAGGAAAAAATTTAGCATTTTTGCTTCAATTCACATGCCAACTTAAAAAAAAAGCTAAAATTATAAATTATAGGAATTTACTTATTCATAATTTTGAAAAGATGTCTACGTTGATGCTAAAAAGTTTTTTTGGCATCTTATAATATTTTTTAATTATAAATTTGCGATGCATATTTTTTTAAAGACTAAATATATATTTTTTCAAATGATATAAGATGTACGAAAATAAGGGGCTGACAATATAAATCAAGAAAATTCAATTCATTTGATTAACATGAATCTTGAGGCGATATTTGAATTAAAAACTTTTAGAATTAAAATCAAGATGATTCAAACTCCGATTTCAATTAGGCGAACTGAACATTCAATAATATCAACCTTAACGATACAAAAAGTAGCCCAATTTAAGTCTAAAGCTTTGTTTGGGACGGCTTTTTTCTTGCTTTTTAAAGTAGCTTCTAGCACAAAAAATTTTTTTTTTTTTGGTGCTAGAAAGCCGCTTTAAGAAGCATCTGTCCCAAACAAAGTCTAAATGAATCCAAATAAAACACTTCAAATATATTTATAAGATTCAAGATATTAAATGAAGAATCAATTGGTCTCTCGATATTGCATTCTCTGTATTCTTTTGAAAGTTATACTTCTATTCAAAGAGAGTAGTACTTCCACGAGATGAATCCAACGAGAGAAACATAATTTGATGTTGACCTTTTAAGGCACTTAAATGCTGGATAAATAACCTATGAACAAATGATCAATTTGGGTGATTGGATGGACTATTATGAAATTGTTGTCAAATTTATCAAAATGTAACTCTCACAAATCATAAACAAACCTCCATTCTCCAAATAAAAAGAGGGAGTCTATACTTGGATTAATTATTTTGTGCGGACGTCGAACGTCATTCTGAGACCAACTAGAATGTGCCACGTCACCCCTTTGCTTTGTACCGCAGCTCGGTACCACTAGCTTGGCGCATTCTAATTGATCTCGGTATGATGTTCTGCGTCTGATCTCTGCATAGAATAATTTCTCTTATACTTGATACTAAAGGAAGCTTGGAAATCTAAGACTTTAGAGCTCTACCGGATGTTCAGCACAAACAATCGTCATTAGCTATCGTCGTCATTTGATTATCGTCATCAGACCTCAATCACTCAATCAATTTCATTTGACCACCATCTAACTATCATTGTTCATTTATCATCATCTAACCACCATCATCCGACTACCGTCATTCAAATAACCATCATTATTTGACTAAAATATGTCTAGTACATCTCCTATAATCTCTAGTAGAACTACAATAGATCATGCAAGTACTTCCAATTTTATAATATTATCTTATCAAATATAAAGAATAGCAAATTTATGCAATACATAATAATTGAGTGGTTTCTATGCAAATTTTTTTTTTTTTTTGGACAATTATGTAAATAATCCTATTTTGAACTGAATAAAATATTTATCTTCTAAAATTTACCAGCTGCCACATGCCACTATTCAATGAATGTAGTATTTATGATGACATGAAATTAAGGCAACTATTCAATTATTATAATCATAAAATATAAAATAATAAATATAAAATAAATAGGCTTGCAAAAAAATGTCATTTGCGGCCAATTTTTTTAATTTATAAAAAAATCATTATGCAATTACTTTTTTACATATCTTATTGTTTATATTGATTATATGATAAAAGAATTGTTGCAATCATTGTAATTTTTTTCTCTCTCTTATAATTTCTATTATTTTTTTCTGAGATTATTTTAATGGGCGCATAATTTATAAATTAATAAATTAGTATTCAAAAATTTTAAAATATTAAATATCTGAGCTTCTTTTAAACGCTTGCTTTGTAAATTGGGCAATTCAAAAGTGTTGATTGTGCGATCTCATAAGATTTTTTTTGGGATGCGAACTTAGTGAAAGAGAATAATTTTTTTAAAAGTTTTATTAATTAAAAATAAGAAATAAGATAAAGGTTTTTTTTTGGGAAATTTTGGGGCAAAGCCCTATCATATATGAGAAAAAATTACAAGTAAAGTAAAAGACCAAAAACTAAAACTCCCAGAACTCAAAAAATGAGAGAATGGAAGTTCTAAAGAAACAAAATACAAAGCAGCTGAAAAAAGAAATGGCAAAGCCTAAAGGACTCAGGGCGTTCAGGCAAAGATGCTCGAGTGGGACCAGCCTGAACGCATAAGCCCCTGGTTGCCATGGAGACCGTCCGAGGGGCAGCTATAATAACAGCATTCATCATTGTCCTTTGCATCAAAATTTTCCTGGAATCCTATAAGCAAAGCAAAATTTACAGGCAGCACAAAATTCTTTATATGCCCCATCTTCATCATGAATAAGCAGATTCCAGAGACAAGGGGCCAAAAACAAAAGGCACTAGAAACATCACAGTAATTTCCAGCAGTGTAAACAACTCCCAACGAGAAACGGGACGGGCAATAGACACTAGTGCTTCCAGCCATGAGTTTTGAGTGTGATAGCTTTTTTCACTTTAACAATAATTGTTTGCTGGCTGTCAATGATTCCCCCAAACATTCTATCATTTCTTGCTCTCTATAGGTAGTAAATAGCAGCTGACACAGTGAACAGATAGTAGTGTCGATCATGTTTGTTGAATTTTTGCTCAAAAATACTATCATAGACTTGAAATAGGTTGGGTTTCATCAAAAGGGAACCCAACCAGGGCAGCAGTTTTTTAATAACATTGAAAGTAAAACTGCAATCATAGAATAAATGAGATAGAGTTTCCATATCACAATGACAGAAGCTGCAAGAATTATGACTGATAATGCCACGTTTAGCTAACGCATCGGACGTTTTCAATCCCCCCCTAAAAGCAAGCCAGGCGTATACAGAAAAACGCAATGAAGCTCTCTTATGCCAAATGTATTTGTGCCAATTCACAGTCTCCAGATGCCCAAAAAAATGCTTCCTGAAATGAACAAACTTGGGGTTCTGATTTCCCAGCCAAAGATGGCTCTCATCAGAAATCTCAATAGCAACAGCATTGATAGAATTGGAAATATTACTGTCAAAAAAATTGGGGACAGCCCAGGTTGCTCCCCAAATTAAATCTTTCACCTTCCAATCAAAGTATTGAGAGTAAGCAACAATAGTGTTTTCTTGTTTCAAATAGCTAGCAATAGAATTTCCCCCACACCAAGGGTCCCAAAAAACAGATAGGCAGCTCATCGGATTGATTATAAAGGTAATACAGTTCCTAATGTCTTCAGCAAGCTTACACAAAGCTTTCCAATAATAAGTACAGTTCACAGCCATAGTGTTCCATAGTGAATAATATTTTTCCCTCCACCAGTCAAAAAGTAAATTTTTTGTATTTAAAAACCTCCATATAACAGAACAACCATAGCTATGATACAGGGAGTCCATAGAAGGAATTCCCAAACCACCATTGCATTTAGGGAGGCAAGTTTGTTTCCAAGATACCATTTGAAGCTTTCTCATATTAATGTCTCCAAAAAAAGTGAATCTAGAACACATCTGATTGATAAGTTTACAGCAAGATTTCGATATTATTGATCCCCTGATCCAGTAAGCCAAGGTGTTGCACATGGTGAATTTGATATATTGTACCCTGCCCGCCAATGATAATGATTTAGCTTTCCAACCATCTAAGAGAACAACGACTTTTTGGAGTAGTGGTTGAAAGTGAGCGACTTTAAGCTTTTTATAGAAAATGGGCAAGCCCAAGTAAGTCATGGGATTGTAAGATTGCTGAATTTGAAGGATTGTACAGATGTTTGTAGCAATGGTGGTATCTTTGGAGATAAGGATTGAGCTTTTGGCAGGGTTTGTATATAGCCCCGAGACCTCCCCAAAAACTTTAAG